TAGTATCTGTTGCTGATCTAACTCTGAGCACTTCTTTGTCCTGTAGGTGGGAAAGTTCAGGAGAAGCTAATTGTATTTGACAACCACAATTACACAGAAGACAGAAGATCAGGAGGTTGTTAATTCCGAGAGCAATAATCACAGATGGCTTTTATCCCTCCCTTGTGGAAAGGAAACCAGGGAGGATTTACTCTGGCAGATCTACCCTGAGTGCAGGTGGTCCTGGCTCCCAGCCTCAGAAAGCACAGCACGCAAGGAGGCTTCACAAACAAAAATATATTCCTTCAACAGGAGCTCTGACAGAGCATGAAATCAGCAGAAACATTTCACATGACAAGACAGAATGAAATGATTTAAATCACTTCAGGAATCTATTCCTCTCACCTAACACTGGTCTTTGTGAACATACTCTGATCTTCCGCTCACCCAGCGCTACTTATGGTGAACTTTCACCGATCTTCCTCTAACTCAGGGTAGTTCAACTGGCGTCCCACCAACCAATCTTATTTCTCCCCTCACTCCATTTCATCTGGCCCACCCACTCCCTCCGTAACCCGTAAATGTTATGTTTCTGGAGGGAAAACACAAAAATATTGCTTACGCGGCGCGCGGATGTTCCTCAACAGGGCATCTGGCCCGCAGCAGCCAAGAGGGTGGTCTCCCCTGCTCTCACTCATCTGTGAACTTAACTGAACTTCCTATAACTCAGAGCTGGACACTTACACTGAACTTCAGGTACAGGAACCTTAATAAGCAAAATATTTGTATCAGCTTGACATTATGGGGGGTTTTGGCACTGTGAATGTGCACATTTATTCTACCTTGGTAAAACTAATCTGAATGTAACAACATGTGCTCCAGCCACCAACTTCAGATGCCTAATACTTTCAAAAAAATGCTACGTTACATGTTAAATCGAAAAGGGTGCAGTTGGGAGAAACCCATGACTTGTTTGCAGAGGTCGACAGTCTATCACAAAGAGCCGAACTTTGAAACGCCACGTTGGTTTGAATATTATCCCTATACATCCCTGCAATAACACCATAATTTTAGCTTTAAGCACTCCAAAACGCAATTCCACGTGAAAGGTGCTATATAAATGCAAGTTGTTGTTAAGATGGTCCTTTTGCAGGAGCTAAACAAATTGCCTTAATAATCAATGGCAAATTTACAAGATCCTGTTCATGTTTTCATATTCTTCTTATAAATTTTAAGTAGCGCAGTGAAAAGTTTACAACCATTTGATTTTCATCAGAAAGGAAGAGAGGAAACAGGGTTGCTATACCTGCTGATCTCTAAACCAGAAATCAGCATTGCATACTCTACAACTGCAATCACACAGCACCACCTAATGGAAAGAAGGGACCATTGTGAGTTTCATTGTAGGTGTACAATGAAGTCAACATCATTGCAAAATGTCTCGAAACAGTTCACAACGTTTTCTGTAAACCCGTAGACACAGTGTAATTGTAGGCAAACGTGGCAGCCAACTTGCACGCAGCACTGTCTCGCAAACTGCTAGAAAGGGAATGACCGACGTGAAAGGTGCTATACAAATCTAATTTTGTTGTTGACCAATATTTTTATCTGAAGGATTGTTGCCCAGGACACTGGAAAAAATCCCATCTATTTTCTAATAGCACCATGGGATCTTTAACGTCTACCTGAACTGGCAGACTTCATTTAAACTTTTCATCCAAAGGATGGCACCTCTAACATTGCTGCACCATGACTGCATTGGAGCATCAGCCCGGACTATAAACTCAAAGTCCCACCAGGGGCTTCAATTCACAACCTGCTGACTGAGAAAAAAAAGAGTGCTACCAACTGAGCCAGTCTGACTCCTGATAAGTGATCACTTATTCTTAAATTGTAAAGATCTTCTTTCAATAGTTATTTAACCCTATTGCATTTGGAATGTAATTCAGTACTGTTCAAAACTTCACTCTAAACGTTGTGAGACATGTGAAAACTATTCCCTAAACCTTACAGAACTATTCAGTTATCTAGAATTTGTTTGGCTATTCTACAGTAAAACTTATATTTTATGAATTAAAATAATGAAAAGCAGTTTCCTTCCTGCCAACCTGCATGTTTCTCTTCAGTCGGGTTTCCGTGCTGCCCATAGCACAGAAACCGCCCTGGTCAAGGTCACCAATGACATCTTGACCATCTGAGACCAGGACTCCCTCTGCCTCCTCGTCCTCCTCGACCTATCGGCAGCATTCGATACGGTCCCACGCTATCCTCCTCCACCGCTTGTCCCCCCACCTCAACCTTCAAGGCCCTGTCCTTGAGTGGTTTAGGTCGTACCTCTCCCTCCGCCTTCATTTTGTTTCCACAAACGGCTTTTCCTCCACCCCCCGCACTGTCTCGTGCGGTGTCCCTCAGGGCTCTGTCCTCGGTCCCCTCCTCTTCACCCTCTATGTGCTCCCCCTTGGTGACATCATCCGCAGACATGGGGTTAACTTCCACATGTATGCGGATGACACCCAACTCTACCTTTCCTCCTTTACTCTCAACTCCACGACCACCGATGCCCTGACAGTTGCCTGTCCGACATCGAGTCCTGGACGAGAGACAACTTTCTTCTGCTCAACGTGCGTAAAACTGAAGCCCTCCTGATTGGCTCGCGTCAGCGCCTCCGCACCTCAGGCGCTGACAGCATCAGCATCCAAGGCTGCACTCTCCACCTCTCAAAGCCGGTCAGGAACCTCGGTGTTCTGTTCGACCCTGAGCTGTCCTTTCTTCCCCATATCCGCGCCACAACTGGCACCGCCTTCCATCACCTCCGAAACATCACCAGACTACGGCACTACCTCACCCCTCACGCTGCTGAAACTCTGGTCCACGCCTTTATCACCTCAAGGCTGGACTATGGGAACTCTCTCCTCGCCGGCCTTCCCGCCACCTCCCTCCACACTGCAGGTCATTCAGAACTCTGCAGCTCGTGTACTGTCCCGCACCAGGCTTCGGGACCACATCACTCCCACCCTCGCTCGCCTCCACTGGCTCCCCATCCCCCAGAGGATCGAATTCAAGATCCTCATCCTCACCTACAAGGCCATTCACGGCCTTGCTCCCTCTTACCTACTATCCCCCTACTTACCTGCCCGTACCTCCGTTCCTCTGGCTCCAGTCTGCTCCACATCCCCCGCCCCAACCGCCCTACCATCGGTGGCCGGGCCTTCAGCCTCTCAGCCTCTAGGCTCTGGAACTCCATCCCCCAGTGCCTTCGCCGCCTCCTCCCTTTCCTCCTTCATGGCCAGTCTCAAGACCTTTCTCTTTGACCGTGCCTTCAGCTCCCCTCTCAACTCTCTACCCCCTCCTCGCTCCCTCCCTTCCCTCCCCTCACCCTGACCATTTCCCCCTCCTCGCTCCCTCCCTTCCCTCCCCCTGACCATTTCCCCCCTCCTCGCTCCCTCCCTTCCCTCCCCTCACCCTGACCATTTCCCCCCTGCTCGGGTCCTGACCCAACTGTCCAGCGCTTTGGGATGTCCTCCCGACGTGAAAGGTGCTCTATAAATGGAATCTTGTTGTTGTTGTTCTCTGGTTTCAGCAACCTCCCTGTTATTCCTTGTTCTGGCAGCAGCTTGGAGTTACAGTAGCCTTCCGTTAAAGCCATTTAAGTACAGAATGATGTATATCAAAATGTTATATACGCTATAGTAGGCTTCTTCCAATGCCCTGGTGGGAAAAAGCATCCTCTTCTACCACTGCCCCTGCCCTGTCAGGGTAAGAGGGAAAAAGAGGATAGATTCATTCCCAGAAAAAAAGTTGAACTCTAGATCTATGCCCATTAGAATTAGCTCTATACAATCCGACAAGAATAACTCAACACATTCCAGGAAGATTAACATTGTTAATTAACAACAACAAAATTACATTTGTATTGCGCCTTTCACGTCGGGAGGACGTCCCAACGTACGTAGGCAGCACCCTCTCCACTGCGGCGAAAATAACAAAATTCTGTCAGCAAACCCAATAAACTATTGCAAATGGCACTACAGTAAGAACTGAAACTTATAGCATTCCATATACAATTGATTGTTGCATTTGCAGGACTCATTCATTCAATCCTATATTCAACATTCCACTGGTTACAGGTCTGTGTCCTCTGCAACACCAGCTACATTTACCTACGTACACACGGATCTCATTGCGATATGCAGAAGCTCAACTAACCAAAAATGTGGTCTCACATTGGAACAGTTACCGAAAGATTAAGGGTCCAACTAAAACCAACAACTGCTTTACATCCTTCCTTTGTGGCTATACATTCAGGGTTTTCTGCAGATAAAGAAAGTCTATGGTATGTTATGAAGCCAAGGCTATTTGATTCCCGGCTCCAACCCAATTACTAATCTGTGAAACACTTTTCGGAAAAGAAAGATTGTTGAAATGGTGGCTTTGACCTCCGGTTGGTTGAGTTGTATGGTAACTAACTAAACCCCACACTGCGTTCATTTTAGTATCCTCGCCTACTTTGCTTCCAAAACCATTTTTGTCTTAAAAAGATAATATCTGGAATTTGGGCTGACATTATTAGTACCATCCCTCAAAAATACACTGAGCAGAAGTGCTGTACATTTATTTCCAATATAATACACCAGGATAGATTGGGGAAAAAATCCAAAAAAGGCATTCTGTCAGTCAAAAGAAATTGGCCAAAATAAGTGGTATAAGCTGTACAACTAATGCCTCCAACCACTTTATGCCCCTCAGTAGACCACTGCATATAAAGTGGACAACATATTCCAGGGGTCCGAATCTGGATACAGCAGAGATTAGTGCAAAAGATGTAAGCATGTATTCAGTTCAGATTAACTTCAGATCCAAATGCAAGTTTACAGTGTAAATGGAGCTTTTGGCTGAACTTAAAGAACGAGCTAACCAATGTGTTAATAACTAAAATGAAAGAGGGAAGAGAAACAGTCGAAGGCAGGAAAGAAAACACAAAGCCAGTTGTGACTTGGAATTTTGCTCAGCTTCAGCCTTACCTTAGGATTCCACTCTGGATCCAGTTCCTTCACAGCGGTAATATATTCCTGCATAGCCTGTCGTCCTGATATGTCACCCATCTCCTTCCAAGCTTCCCTAGCACAACAAAAAAAAAGAAACTGTACAAATCATGAAAGGTTAAGCATACCACTTGCTTCACAAGTGATATAGGTAGAACGTAGCATGTGCAATACAGCTTTTGTTTAGCTTCTCTGCTGAAGGCATTCGCTCAGGTAAGGATGGATACAGCACATTTTGTACTATCTATATTTCCACCACTAGTCACAAATCCACCCAGGAATCCAGCACCAAATACTCTCATCACTGCCCTAACAATACTCATTTTACATCGTCGAAGGCTGTGTAATTCTTCACAGTTGTCAGTGCTGGAAGGAGAAGTAAGCTTACGCTTTTCGCAAGCTTTGACAATTACTCAACAGTGCACAAACAGCCCCCTCAGCTACTTCAACCCCCGTCCCTTAATAATAATAATCCTTGCATTTGATATAGCGCTTTTCATGTCTTCTAGACGTCCCAAAGCGCTTCACAGAATATACTGTAAAGTGAATTGACTGTATATTTGTGGGCGAACGCGGCAGCCAATTGCGCACAGCAATGTCCCACAAACAGTCATGGATTGAAAATGACCAATTTATTAATGTTTTTTTTTGGAGGGATTATTATTAGGCTCTGTGTGGAGTAAGGAAACTTGCCCAAGGTTTCGCACTGCCTGGAATTGAACTCAGGTCTCTCACTTGCAAAGCGAGTGCTCTAACCACTGAGCTACAGGACTCCACTCCCTTCTCACAAGGCAAGATTTGCAATTGGGAATTAATTGCGTTTGGAATAAGCGGACACACAACTGCATCAAACCAATCCCAGGAGCAACACGCAAGATCCCAACAGGACGGGTCACTAACCACACAGAACTTTTCAAACAGAATCCAAATTAACTCTTCAGTAATAGTGAGTGGCTGTGATTGAGGAGGAAATACAACAAAGAGTGGGTAACTGTAATGCACGATCAGGAAGAAACAATGTTTACTCAGCACAGAAGAGTTAAGCTGGTCAAAGAGATAAGAGTAAGTGTTTTATTTCATTAGGTAGGGGGTTCAGAAAATGTTTGCTTCCACAGTTCCAGGCATCACCAAACCTCTTGGTCTCAGTGCTCTCCCATAACTCCATTCCATAAAATTAAGTTATTCCCATTTCTCTAGCGCTTCCTCACTTTACGGACTCCTACACTTTGCTTTTTTGTAAATAAATCTTCAATGCATTTCAACAGTACTGTCGGGTTACTTCTTAAACTGTCTTTATGTGTGTAAAATAATCTTCAGACTTCAGGTAGATTTCAAAAGTTCTTCTTTATTACTGCACTGCAAACAGGTTACAGTCCAGGCACACTCTTGTGGTTCGATCAAAGAATACTTGGCACACATTCCATATATAGGTATAATGCTCCAATCACAATGAAGTAATTAAGTTTTGTGCCTACCACTCTAATACCACCCCCTTCTAGCTGTCTCTCATATCCCTTACTCCATCTCTTCCCACTGTCCTAATATGAACTTGTTATTCCGTTACTCTTTCCTGTCTTTGTTCCCCGTCCTTGAGCAGCAATCTGGTCCATTCCAGTTTAACCTACTCCATGCTGATTATAAGACCACTCGCCTGAACAGTTTTTGTACAGGGTCACTATCAGTCATTCAGGCCAGAACTCCTGTTCTCCTTCAAGTACTTACCATTTTTGTCTACCTTCAAAGTCAAAGAACCCGGGTTTAGGAACGTTACATTGTCCAAACTTAGCCTAGAAAACAGAAATCATCTGTAATGAGTAAAACAAGCCACTGTAGTGCAAGACAATCATATATAATATGGAGACACCCGTATACACACACACACGCACTCACACACATGCACACCTTCACAAAACTTCACGTTAAAGATTTCTGGTCTTTAGTTTCAACTTCTGATCTTAGAAATGAAACCTAAGTCCAAAGGATAAAAGAAAGGCACACCTCTCAGTTCACCAAACCCACACAGGAAACAGTCATCCTATCAAACTGTACTGGATTTAAACCTAATTGCCAGCAGTGAAGTAACAGCACAATCAAACAAATCAGATTAATGTGCCATACACTACAAAGGGCAGAGAGCATTACAAAACATGTATTTTTATATAAAGCTGAACTCTAAAATAAAAATAAAACATCAACTATTCCTCTGCTCCGACTGTGTGTTTTCTCTCTTAACATTTCGATGTGCTCCTTATACGGTGAATGATGCAGTGTCACACTTAGCCTATCCTGCTTGTCAAAGGTGGTCTCAATATAACAGTGCACAATGCCCCTGCCTGTTGTCTCAATCAAGACACCATCACAGAAATAGAGCATATTCCTCTGCGCAGCACAGATAGAGTAAACTGTATCCAGGGCATCTGCCCCTTTTTTTATTTTGTTCTGACACATGTAGAAACCCATCAACGTGCTTAAGATTATCCAAACCAAATTGAGAATTCTGTGCATCCCACGTACATACAGAAATTCCAGAGACAAGATTGTTGGAATGGAATGCACTCTCTCTCCCTGGAAGGACACCTCCTGTTTACCTAATTCCAGAAAGCATTAGGCACAGGTTGGCCAGAGCTTAATCCCCCTCTTACATCTAGAATGAAGTATGAAAGGGAGGGCAGTGGAAAGAGTCTCGAAAGGTTATACCCCATACAGGGGATTTTTCTTCATCTTTATTCCCAATATACACCTCTTTATATGTTAATATCGAATACATCATGAGAGAGGGTGGGTGGGGTGTCTTTATCCGACTATACTGAGTATATCAGCACTCCAAGTTCCGTATGAGGGAGCTATATGAATACAAATGTTGATGTATTAGAGTGACTGTAATTGTTTATACCAGTACAAGGGGCTTGTTATTAAACATTCATTGTCCAGGGCCTTGGGACGTCAACAACAACAACAACAACAAGATTCCATTTATAAAGCGCCTTTCACGTCAGGAGGACGTCCCAAGGCGCTGCACAGTTGGATCAGGACCCGAGCATTGGGGAAATGGTGAGGGGAGGGAAGGGAGCGAGGAGGGGGGAAATGGTCAGGGTGAGGGGAGGGAAGGGAGCGAGGAGGGGGGAAATGGTCAGGGGGAGGGGAGGGGAGGGAGGGAGCGAGGAGGGGGGAAATGGTCAGGGGGAGGGGAGGGAAGGGAGGGAGCGAGGAGGGGGGAAATGGTCAGGGGGAGGGAGGGAAGGGAGGGAGCGAGGAGGGGAAGAGAGTCGAGAGGGGAGCTGAAGGCACGGTCAAAGAGAAAGGTTTTGAGACCGGCCTTGAAGGAGGAAAGGGAGGAGGCGGCGAAGGCACTGGGGGATAGAGTTCCAGAGCCTCGGGGCTGAGAGGCTGAAGGCCCGACCACCGATGGTAGGGCGATTGGGGCGGGGGACGTGGAGATGTTGTTGTTGTTGTAAGGCAAACCAGATGCCAGGTTGTATTGAAAGGGCAATGTAGAGCCAAAATAATGTGGTAATTCTGCCACTTCACAAATCACTGGTGCGACCACAATTGGAATACTGTGTGCAGCTCTGGTCATCACAATACACAAAGGATATTGCAGCGATTGAGAGGATACAGAGGAGGGCAAACAAAATGATTGAGGGGATGGAGGGACTGGACTGCGAGGAGCGATTCGATAAACTGGGCATGTTCACGCTGGAGAAGGGAAGGTTGAGGGCCGATATGATTATGGTCTTTAAGGTGTGACGTGAGGTGCCATACAAATGTAACTTTGTTGTTGTTGTGATTGTTTACACCAGTACCATCCTTTGGATGAGACGTTAAACTGAGGTCCCGTCTGCCTGTACAGGTGGATGTTAAAGATCCATGGCAGTATTTGAAAAGAAAAGGGAGTTTCTCTCTCCTGGTGTCCTGGCCAATAACCCCCACACAAAAATGTGGTCACTCGTTCCATGGCTGTTTTTGGGATTGACTTTGCAATTGCCCCAAAGAATACACAATCAATCCACTTTACAGTTTATCCTGTGAAGCGCTTTGAGACGACATAAGGTCAAATGCAAGAATTATCATTATTATGTTGTTTAGACCATTACAGGGGGGAGGGGTCTGTTATACCAGGGTCCCACGGGTGTTTATACCCTCTCTCTGTGATTACCTGGTGTGTGTGTGTGTGCGGGGGGGTGGTTGCCTGTGTGAGTGTGTGTGTGTGGGAGGGGGGGGTACCTGTGTGTGTGGGGGGGGTGCCTGTGTGTGTGGGGGGGGGGATGGTTGCCTGTGTGAGTGCGTGTGTGTGTGTGTGTGTGTGTGTGTGTGTGGGGGGGGGGAGCGTGTGTGTGTGTGTGGGGGGGTACCTGTGTGTGTGGGGGGGGGGGGGAGTGTGTGTGTGTGTGGGGGGGGGGTACCTGTGTGTGTGTGTGTGGGGGGGGGGGTACCTGTGTGTGTGTGTGGGGGGGTTCCTGTGTGTGTGTGGGGGGGTACCTGTGTGTGTGGGGGGGGGGTACCTGTGTGTGTGTGGGGGGGGGGGGTTCCTGTGTGTGGGGGGGGGTACCTGTGTGTGTGTGTGTGGGGGGGGGGGGTACCTGTGTGTGTGTGGGGGGGGGGTTCCTGTGTGTGTGGGGGGGGGTACCTGTGTGTGTGTGTGGGGGGGGGGGGGTGTGTGTGTGTGTGGGGGGTACCTGTGTGTGTGTGGGGGGTACCTGTGTGTGTGTGTGTGGGGGGGGGGTACCTGTGTGTGTGTGTGGGGGAGTGTGTGTGTGTGTGTGTGGGGGTACCTGTGTGTGTGTGGGGGAGTGTGTGTGTGTGTGTGGGGGGGGGAGTGTGTGTGTGTGTGTGTGTGGGGGGGGGGGGGGGTACCTGTGTGTGTGGGGGGGGGTACCTGTGTGTGTGTGTGTGGGGGGGGGTACCTGTGTGTGTGGGGGGGGGGTACCTGTGTGTGTGTGTGGGGGGGGTACCTGTGTGTGTAGTGTATGTGGGGGGGGTACCTGTGTGTAGTGTGTGTGGGGGGGGTACCTGTGTGTGTGTGTGTGGGGGGGTACCTGTGTGTGTGTGGGGGGGTACCTGTGTGTGTGTGTGTGTGTGGGGGGGTACCTGTGTGTGTGTGTGTGTGGGGGGGGGTACCTGTGTGTGTGTGTGGGGGTACCTGTGTGTGTGTGTGGGGGGGGCGGTGTGTGTGTGGGGGGGTACCTGTGTGTGTGTGGGGGGGTACCTGTGTGTGTGTGGGGGGGGGGGTACCTGTGTGTGTGTGTGTGTGTGTGTGGGGGGTACCTGTGTGTGTGTGGGGGGGTACCTGTTTGTAGCGGCTGTACAGGTGGAGGAGGCTGTCACGCGGCGCCGTGGGCACGAGCCGCTTCACGTGCCGCGCCGCGAGCTCGAAGTGCGCCTCGAGTTCGCTCACGTCCTCGCGGCCTTCGCCGGGCTCCGACTCCGACTCGGACTCGCTGCTGCCCGCGCGGCCCGACACCGCGGCCATAGAGAGCTGCCGCTGCCAGTCCTCCGCTTCTCTCCTTCCTCCTCCTCCTCCTCCTCCTCCTCCTCACCGCCGCCGCCGCCGCCGCTCAGCTCCGGTCAGACCCCGGTTGGCGGCTCCTTCCTCAGCGCTGTCCCGCGCACATCAACACTCCGGGCGGAGACACGTCTCCCCCCGAACAAAGGTTCCGCTTTGCGTCCAGTCCCCCCCCCATCTCCCTCCCTCCCCCCCACACACCCCCCCACCCCACACCCCCCCTCGTTATTTATCATAACCTGAATCATCGTCACGATCAATAATAATCAATAATCGATCAATCCACCGCCCCCACACCCCCACCCCTTGCAAACTTGACGCGGCGCCCGCTGACCGGGCGGCCGAGAGGCCTCGTCCCCGCGAGGCGCGCGGTCACTCCACTCGGACGGCGCGGTCCGTCTGTGAAGGGCTTTCTTTTTGAGACGTCTCGACCGCCCGCTCGGGCCCTGTATCGAACGCAGGGCCGTCGCTGGCTCAAAAAAGCGCTTCGCGGGACACACCGCGCGGCGGAGCGGCTGTGTGTTTTGTGGGGCCAGTTTGCGCGGCGGCGGCGGCACCACCACCATCAACAACAACAACAACAACAACATCACATCTGTAAAGCGCCCTTCACGTCGGGAGGACCGTCCCAAGGCGCTGGGCAGACAAGAGTTTCGGACCCGAGCTGGGGATCGGGGTGGGGGAGGGTGGAGGGCGGGGGTGGGGGGGGGGGGGGGGGAGGGGAAGGAGGGAGATCGACAGCACGGTCAAAAAGGAGGGTCTTGAAGGTGGCGATGGAGGGGGTGAGGTGGAGGGACTGCGGGATGGAGGTCCAGAGGGTGGGGACAGAGTGGCAGAAGGCCCGTCCTCCGATAGTGGGGCGAGCGAGGCGGGGGACGTGAAGCAGGCCAGAGCCCGCTGAGCGGAGGGAGCGAACGGGATGGTAGGGGGTTAGGAGGTCACAGAGGTCGGGGGGAGCAAGACTGTGAAGGGCTTTGAAGGTGAGGACCAGGATCTTGAACTGAATCCTCTGTGTGATGGGAAGCCAGTGGCGTTGGATGGGGTGATAGGGTCGCGGAGCCTTGTGCGGGAGAGGACACGGGCTGCAGAGTTCTGGATGATCTGCAGCCTGTCAAGGGAGGAGTTGGGGAGGCCGACAAGCAGTGCGTTTGCACAGTCGAGCCTCGATGTAATGAAGGCGTGTATGAGGGTTTCGGCGGCCTGTGGTGTGGGGCAGTGGTGGAGCCGGGCGTTATTGTGGAGGTGGGGGAAGGCAGAGCGGGTCATGGTGCAGATGTGGGGTAGAAAGCATAGTTGAGGGTCAAACAAGACACCAAGGTTCCGGACTGGCTTAGCAAGGTGGAGTGTGCAACCACGGATGGTGATGCTGTCAACGCCTGAGGTGAGGAGGCGCTGACGGGAGCCAATCAGGAGAGCCTCGGTCTTGTTCAACTGAAGAAAGTTAGCTCTCATCCACGACTTGATGTCCGACAGACATTCAGTCAGGACAGCAGTGGTCCTGGAGTCAGAGAAGTACAGTTGGGTGTCATCCGCATATATGTGGACATTGCAGATGATGTCACCAAGGGGTAACAGTGTCCCACAAGTAGCCATGGTGTAAGTGACTAATTTTATTTGGGGAATTGTTGGCCAGGACATCAGGAAAGAGAAACTCCCTTCTCTTTTCAAATAGTGCCATGGGATCTTTAACATCCACCTCAACAAGAAGAGTGCCTTGATTTAACTTTTCATCTGAAGGAGAGCACCTCTAACAATTCAGCACAATCCCAGCACTGCCCTGGAGCATCAGCTTAGGCCACGTGAGTTCAAGTGCCGATGTGGGGCTTGAACCCACAATCTTAATACTAACAGACTTGGCGAATTAGCTGACAATAAACAACGATGACGACAAATTACATTTGTATAGCACCTTTTGTGTCTGGAGGACATCCCAAGGCACTGGAGAAAAAATAAAAGATAAAAGCAATCAACGGGTGATGCAACCTCAAGAAAGTGACCATAAATCCCTGAAAGTGCATTGCCTCACTGTCTAACCATTTGCATTGATTAGATGCAAGACAACCTGTTAGCTGAAAACCATGTCGGTAATTAATGGCTAACCACCTGCACTATACGTGTGTCCTGATGGAGGCTCTCCAATGCAATGTCAAATAACAACAACAAAATTACATTTGTATAGCATCTTTCATGTCGGGAGGACGTCCCAAGGCGCTGGAAGCAGTGTGCAGTTTGAGCTTTAAATCAGCGCCTTATGATGTCCAGGCTAGGGACTTTACAACAACTTGTATTTATACAGCGCCGTTCACACAGGGAAGCATCTCAGAACGCTTAACAGTGGCGGAGCCTGATGCTGAACCAGAGGCTGGGAGGCGGTGACTGTAAGCACTGTCGAAGAGAAAGGTCGTCAGTCGTGTCTCAAAGAGGGGAAGGAGGGGACAAGATGTACGGTTTGGGGGAGAGAGTTCCAAAGCTTCAGGGCTTAGTGGCTGAAAGCACGGCCGCCGATGTTTTAGTGGAGGGGACAAGGGTCAAGCAGAAGGCCATAGCCAGACAAGCGGAGGTAGCGGGTAGTGGAGTTGGAAGAAAGTAGGTCAGAAAGCTGGGAAGTGCTAGGGTGTGAAGAGAATTTTATTCCAAGACCTAAATAGGATGATATGGAGGCTGGGATCATGAGTTTGCTTTATGAATAAAGTGCTTTACAATAAGCAATGTTCACATGCAGTATTTTCTTAAGCAGCCATTTTCTCCACAGGAACAGTCTCATAAACAGCCAAGGATAAATGGCCAATTAATCGGGAAGATGGACAGTCAAGATACTGCCCTTTGCTTTTTGAACAATGCCACGTCACCCACATTATTGACATAATCATATCATGATTTTAGCAAGTCACGGTGAAAAGACTGCAATTTTTAGTCTGACAGGGGGTTGGCATGATTTGATCTCATCCTTCCAGAACACTCACCCTACCTTCCTCCCATCACACCATTGAATGTCAGCCTGGCGCCAGGGTCACCAATTGTACTTAAAGTGTGAAGTCGTGAATGTCTTTTTGCTGTCGACAGGATATAAAGTATATAAGTGACCTTGTAGCTGCCACATCCATGGATCTTCTTATGTACTACAACTACAGGACAGTACCTCCCTTGCCTCCTTTAAGGCCCGTCTCAAGACTCTCCTCTTCGACCGTGTCTTCGCTCACTCTCCTACTCCTACCCTCCTTGCCCTCCACCAGTTCTGATCTCAACCCCCAGCTCAGGTCCAAATCCCTGTCTGTCCAGCGCCTTGGCACGTCCTCCCGATGTGAAAGGCGCTACACAAATGTAATGTTGTTGTTTTATAATAATGATAATCCTTGCATCTGATATAGCACTTTTCACGTCTTCGAGACGTCTCAAAGCGCTTCACAGAATATGCTGTAAAATGAATTGACTGTATATTTATGCAAACGTCTCACGTCAATTTCTTTTGGTTAACTATGTCAAGAATTGGCGGAAGGATAGAATCACCCAGCTAACCTTTAACCTCCATCACATAACAAGTCTGTCCTACACAGTGGATCCAGGGGAAACGTATTGCATTGACAGATCGCCTGGAGCAGCACATGACCTGGTCTGGAGCCACAAACCAGGGTGTAGTAGTAGCAGTCAGGGTTTAGGAGCATGTGACCTTAAAGGTAAACATTAACAAAGATGGAAAGTATTTAATTCAGCTGTCCGCAGCAGAATGTTCTTTTGTCATCTCCTCCCAGACCCCCACTGTAACAGACCCTTTCTGCTGTATGCTCTTTCCTCCCCTTTCTCCTTCCCCAAATGAATTCACACTGGATCCTGCTGTTCTGCTGCTGGCTGGCGAAGGTGAACGGGAACATGTTCCAGGACCAGCTGGGGACTTTTTCCGAGATTTTTCATTTCCTCACCGATCAGATCTGGGACTCAGAGTTCGAGCTGGCAGATTTCATAAAGAAAGGAGGTAAGGCAGAACGAGTGTGCTCCTGTGACTGAGATATGTATGTGACGGATTCCCTGAATGAGTCAGAGACTGGAGTCTAAGTTGTGTCACTCTCACTTCTGCATCATTATCATAATAATCCTTGCATTTGATATAGCGCCTTATCACGTCTTTGCGACATCTCAAAGCACTTCACAGAATATACTATAAAGCGAATTGACTATATTTTGTGGGTGAAACACGGGAGCCAATTACTCACAGCAGTGTCCCACAAACAGTCATGGATTGAGTGACCACATTATTAACTTATTTTATTTTTTTGAAGGGATTATAACTCCTGGTAATGCAATCCAACAATCAACTAACATCCTGGTTTCTACTTACTGCTAGGTGAACAGAGATGTGCGGAGTAAGTTTCCCTGCCCGGGAATCAAACCCAGGTCCTCTCTCTTGTGCTCTAACCATTAAGCTGCAGGACTCCACGTCGTGGAGGACCTGCTCGGGTCCTGACCCAACTGTACAGCGCCTTGGGACGTCCTCCCGACGTGAAAGGCGCTCTATAAATGGAATCTTGTTGTTGTTGTTGTTGTGAGTCTAAGCCCCACGTCAGGACTTCGAGCTCGCAGTCTAGGCTGACGCTGCATCGCAGAGCTGGGGGAGCACTACATTATCAGAAGCGCCATTCTTTATATGAGATGGGAAACCAAGATCCGTTTGCCTGTTTAGGTGGATGTTAAACATCTCATGGCACTATTCAAAAAGAGAAGTTTCTCCCAGTGTCAGGGCCAACAATCCCCCAGGTAAATTGATCGCTCATTTTATGGCTGATCTAGTCCTGTAGAGCACTCGCCTCGCAAGCGAGAGACCCGAGTTTGATTCCCAGCAGAGCGAAACCTTGGGCAAGTTTCCTTGCTCCACACGCCTGATAATAATCCCTCACGGAAAAAAAACAATAATAATTTGGTCACTCAATCCATGACTGTTTGTGGGACATGGCTGTGTGCAATTGGCTGCTACGTTTGTCCACAATTTTACAGTCGATTCACTTTACAGTATATTCTGTGAAGCGCTTTGAGACGTCTCAAAGACGTGAAAAGAGCTATATTTAAATGCAAGCACTATTATGGCTGTTTGATAGACCTTGCTTTGCCCAAATTGGCTACTGTGTTCACCTAGAAATATACTCAACATCAATCCCCTGTGAAGCGCTTTGCTATGTTCTGACATTATAGGCAATATATCAAATGCATTGATTATAATTAATTAGCAAATGGAACACAACCTAACTCTTTAATTGCAACTTTAGGTCTTGTCCCTCCCTAGTAATCCCTTCTATCTCCCACTCCACTTCTCAGTTTTCATCTACAAAAATACAAATTATTTATAGTAAAACTCGATCATGCTCTTTGGAAACATCCTCTCGGTGTCAAATGTCTCACAATATCAAACGTAAGGATTATTATATTATTATTACAGCACATTGAGACTTCAACTGTGTGAAATGCTGTATAATCCCTCCCCAAAAAATGTGGCCTCTCAATCCACAATTGTTTGAGGGACACTGATGTGTGCAATTGGCTGCCGCGTTCTGCTCACAAAATATACAGTTAATCCACCTTACAAGATGCGCTTTTGAGACATCATATATCAAAAATAAGGATCATCATGATATTATCATCTAATGAGTTGAAACCCACAGTTTAATTTCCTCTTTTGATTGCAGCAAACCCTTTGGATGCCTGGTCCTTCTCTTCGCTTCAAGACAGTACCAGGAACTGGTACTGCAGTGTGCACGGGTGCTGCGAGTCCACGGACTGCCGGCTCATTAACAACATTACAGGTTTGTGAGCAGCGATTAGCTATTAGCATTTACCCAGTCAGGCTCGTCAGAGGTAGCACCACCGGCGTTGGAGTTCTTGTGACGACGATGATGATGATGATAATCCTTGCATTTGGTGTAACGACTTATCACGTCATCGCGACATCTCAAAGCGCTTCATAGGATTTCAGTGACTGTGTCATGACACTCTGCGAAATGTGGTGACTGTGTATTTTTGTGAAAACAGAGATCTCCCCTGTTTGAGGTCAGGCCTGTTTAAATAACTAATTTGGTCACTTAATCCATGATTGTTTTGTAGACTCTGCTGTGCACAATTGGCTGCCTCGTTTCACCCACAAACTATTCAGTCAATTCACTTTATATTCTGTGAAGCTCTTTGAGACTTCTCAATGATGTGATAAGGCGCTATATCAATGCAAGGATTATTATTATATAAAACGGTGCATGTGTTTTTCTGACCAGGGCTGGACCATGATTTGGGCACAAAGCTGCACGGACAGCACCTGGCCAAGGAGGTGGTGGTGAAAGCTGTGAAGGGCTTTTTAGCCACCCCACAGCCACAGAAAGCACTCGCGCTCTCCTTCCACGGCTGGTCTGGAACCGGCAAGAAATTTGTGGCGAGAATGATAGCCGACAACCTGTATCGAGATGGCCTGAGGAGCGAGTGTGTGCACCTCTACATCGCCCCCTTTCACTTCCCCTATGCCGACCTGGTGGACAAATATAAGGTAAGGGATGCCGCGCAGAATGCCGGTGAGTTCAAAGTCCAGACGTGAGGCTTGTACCTACAAACTTCTGACTCGGAGGTGAGAGTAGGGTACAAGCGATTAAACCAGACTGACACCAAATTGGGCCCCATGCGAAAGATGTATTGGGTGAAGTGGACTGTATTAGGGAGGGAAAGAAGATTGGAGGAATTGGAATAGTAATATATTCCAATTCCACGGAGTCTTGTATCACAGTAGTTTGTAGGCTCGCCTCGCAAGAGAGAGGACCCGGGTTCAATTCTCGGGCAGGGTGAAACCTTAAGCACGTTTCCTTACTCCACATGCCCCTGTTTCCCTAGCGGTAAGTAGGAACGCGCTTGTTGGTCAATCGGCAGATCAATTTCCGGGGGTTATGATCCCTCAAAAGAAAAATAATTTGGTCACTCAATCCACGACTGTTTGTGGGACACAGCACAAAATTTACAGTCAATTTACTTTACTGTATATTCTGCGATGCCCTTTGAGATGTCTCAACGACATGATACGGCGCTGTATGAAATGCAAGGATTGTTATATTATTATTATGATATCCTGTTACCTGCTTTGTGTGACCACTCTCTCCCAGGCCCTGCTTCTGCAACGGATCCTAGCAGCCGTGCAGCACTGCGATCGATCCCTGTTTATATTTGATGAGGCTGAAAAGCTACACCAAGGTCTTATTGACGCCATTAAACCTTACATCGACCACTATGACAACGTGGACGGTGTGGACTTCAGGAAATCCATGTTCATTTTTTTGAGGTAACTTAAGGATAAAAAATAATAATCATCATCCTTACATTTGATATAGCACCTTATTACGTTAGGAGGCCATCTCACAGCTGTTCACAGAATATACTTTAAAGTCGAGTGAATGTATTTTGTAGGCAAATGTGGCAGCTAATTTTGCACACAGCAATGTCCTGCCAACAGCCATGGTGTGAATAACTAATTTTATTTGGGGGATTGTTGGCCAGCACATCGGAAGAGAGAAACTCCCTTCTCTTTTCAAATTGGGCCATTTACTGTCCATCTGAAGAGGCAGACGGGATCTCGGTTTAATGGTTTATCTTAAAGACAGCACCTCAACAACACAGCACCCCCACCATGCCCCAGCACTGCATTGGATGATTTGAGTTCACAGTCCCTACATGAGCCAGATCGCGATAGCCACGGAGGGTCCCTGAACTGTTTTCAAGCCTTGTTTTCATTTCCAGCCAAATTTATATTACAGTTTCATAATTACAACAGTAAATAAAATCAAGCCAGATAAGGCTGACATTGCACAAACTCCTGTTGCTACTGTATGTCTGGGTTTCACTTGACCCTGGCTGTTTAATAGCTGCCAAATGTTGCTCAAGGATCAGGTAAGTTTCAGTGTCATTAATCCACTTTTCAGCTGTACACGTGGAACAAACCAAATCAATATAATTCCTGCCATATCCCACAAACTACAGCCAGGCACCGCTACACTGGACTTGGGGCTGAATATTTAATAATAATTAATAACAACAAGAATTAATAATAACCCTTGGATTGGATATAGCGCCCTCTCACATCATTGAGGCGTCTCAAAGCTCTTCACGGATCTTGGGAGCGCAATAAATCTCAAGCCAGAAATCTATAATAAGCAATGGCTGGGATAATTGTGTAATGGTGCAGGTATTTATCTCAGTGGATGGCAAACAATTTCCCTCTTATGTAAAGAACAAACATTGAGATTTTGCAAACCTCTCACCACTTTCGGTCCATCAATTTCCCAATTGCTGGACTTTACTAGAAACGTTGTCATTTTCTAACAACCTTTGTACTTGGTGAATGCAAGCAATGGGGGAATCAGGGTTTGAAAATCGCTTTGACATTTGCAGTGCAGTTTGTGTAGGAGTCAGACCTTTGCTTACTTATCAATATTGTGTCCTCTATTGACTCAGGCTGGACGACAAGTTAAGCTATGTGTTGCACTTGTTGTATATCACAGCCTTACTATTGGCTTGTACAAGCCAATTGATCATACAAAGTGCATTCCACCTTGCTCCTCACTGACTGTTCAACATCTGCATTACAATGCAAAATAATCAGAAGTCAAAACCCCAATCCATGAAACAGCCCCAATCCATGAAATAATACTAATAATCATTGTATTTGATATAGTGCCTTATCATGACTTCTAGACGTCTCAATGTGCTTCATAAAATATAAGGTAGTTTATTTTGTGGACGAAACTCAGCAGCCAGTTGCGCACAAACAGTCGTGGATTGAGTGACCAAATTATTATTATTATTTTGGGGGTCAGGGAGGGATTATTACCCTTGGAAAAATGATCCACCAATCGACTAACAACCAGGTTCCAAGTTACTGCTTGGTAAACGGAAGCATGTGGAGTAAGGAAATTTACCTAATATTTCGCCCTGCCTGGGAATCGAACCCAGGTCCTCTCGCTTGTGAGGCGAGTGTGAGAACAACTATGCCACATGATTCCACAATAAAAAATGATTATTAGAGGAACAGGGCAGTTACCAGGCAATGATCTGAAAGGGCGGTCAGATAGATTATTGTAAGTGACTTGAGATTCACTCTCAAGATTTGTAGTCTTACCTGGACCCTTACTAACTCATCAGTACGTCAAGTGGCACTTATGCTATGGAACCATATGAATGCCAATTCCAGTAATAATAATAATACTAATAACCCTTGCAATTGATGTAGCACCTTATCACATCATTGAGACGTCTCAAAGTGCTTTGCAGAAAATACTGTCAAGTAAATTGACTATAATTTGTGGGCGAAGCAATTCTAGTAATATGATTAATCCATAGTGCATTCTGACACAACTATAGACCTGATCACTGACTCAAGTGTACGATATATTTTTCTGACACAATTCTCAGAGCTAAGTGTGCAATTCACTGGCAAACGACATGCAACTAGAAACTTGTTGTCATTGAAACTAACTAAGTTTGGAGTTGATCCCAGCCCCTGTTTCTGTTTTGAATGGGATCATCAATGATTCTTATCCTTCAATGTTCCTTCCCAGTAATGTGGGAGGACATTCCATAAGCAGAATGACGCTGGATTTTTGGCGAGCAGGGAGGAACCGCGAGGAGATTACAATGGAAGATCTGGAGCACAGAATACAAAGAGAGGCTACAACCTCAGAAGGTACATGAGGCGGGAGGACGTCTAACAGCAACAACTCGCATTTATATAGCGCCCTTCAAGCAGGGCAGTGTCTTGGAGTGCTTAAAAGTGGCGGAGCCTGACCCTGAGGGAGATAGGAGGTGACCGTAAGCCCCAGGCAATGATCTGAAAGAGTGTTCAGATAGATTCAGATGGACTGCACGTTTAAGAGAGACAGTGGATAATAACAGCTGGTATCAGAATGGATTGGGGCAGTGTGAGGAACAGTGAGTACGGAGAAAAAAGTGGAGCAGTGTGAGAGAATGTCAGGTACAAGTGGGTGGGTGAGAGGTGTATGAGAGAGAAATGGGAAATACCATGTCGAACATTTGTGTGATTCAAGTGATTTCTAAGTCACTGGGGAGAAAAGGGAAAGAATTAGATGGAATCACCGTAAAAAGGAAAGAGAGGGTAATTAACAGCTGGAACAGGTTTGCCAGGAAGGGTGGTTGAGGCCAGGACCCTGGAATCATTTATAAAACAGCTTAATGCTGTGATGGGAGGAACTGTAGGGTGGGTGTTTTGGGAGGATGAGATCATCCCAAAATGATCTCGTGGGGTTTAAAAGAACCCAAAAAAAGAATCAGAGGGGAGATGAGGAGATATTTTTTTTACTCAGTGATTTGTTATAATCTGGAATCTACTGCCAGAATGGGTGGTGGAAGCAGATTCGATAATTTTCAAAAGCAAAGTGGATATACTGTATACTGGAAAAGAAAGGGTAGGGAAAAGAAAGCAATTTACTTGGCTGTGGGGAGAGAAGGGGAGTGGGACTAATTCGATAGCTCTTTCAAAGAGCCTGTGTAGGCACAGTGGGCCAAATGGCCTCTTCCTGTAAGATTATATGATTCTAATCTATTAATACAACAACAATTTGCATTCTTAGAGAGCCCTTTATGCAGGGGGAGGGGGGGGGTGGGGAGGCAATCACAAGTAGGCACGATCAATGCAGAAAGTTTTCAGGCTGAAGATGGGGGAGGGTTTAAATATTTATTATTATTTGAATAATAATTAAAAAGGGTTTAATATTTACTTACTACTTATTATTACTGTTTTCATTATTAAGTGCTTACTCCCTTCCCATTCCCAGGTGGATTCACACAAAGCGTCCTCGTAGCCGAGAACCTCATTGACTTCTTCATCCCTTTCCTGCCCCTGGAGTACAAGCACGTCAAGCTGTGTGCGCGCGATGCTCTCCGATCCAGAGGCATCAACTACAAAGTGGACATTTTGGACGAAGTGGCCAGAGGGATGTCCTATGTGCCCAAGTCAGAGAAACTATTCTCCGCCCAGGGCTGCAAATCCGTCTCCCAACGAGTCAATTTCTTTCTACCCTGACGCTGCACGAGCAGAGTAAAACCACCTCGAGCACAATGCCCCTCAAGAACAGGGCAAGGACATCCGTTGAACTGAAGCTTCTGAAACTGTGGACCCGCATTTCCAGCGCACTTGGAGTTGCTATCTGGGCCAATGATAGGAGAGATTCATCTGTTATTAACTAAAGCCGAAGGTGCAGAGAGTTTCGTTCTTACTTTCTCATGAACATGAGTCGTTGAAACCTGGTTCCAGCTCGTGTCTATTGCTGTTACGCTGGGATCTGTGCTAAATTGCGATATTCTGTAAAGAGATGGGAAGTGCTCATTGTAAGCAGCCTGGGTCAATCTGAGCGGTTGGATGGAGGGGATGGGAAAGAAAGGGCATGGGGGATTGGCGGGGTGGGGGGGAGAATAACAATTTCCGAAAGACACCAATCGACAAGAATTAAAAGACCAGAGAGCAAACCACATTGAATCGGGAAGATGGATTCATTTTCCAACCCGACTCTCCGATCGCTCTGGCTGATCCAGGCTAAATTGAGCACATCCCACCTCCGCTTTAGAAAATATCGTAAACTGGACACCGATGTGTTCTGTGTGTGTGTTTTTTCTATCATCAGTGTTATTCTGCTGAAGAGTGTCAACCAGAATGCTGCAGTAAATACGAATGTCCACAAGAGGGCGCTCTGACATTTGTGCCAATATTATTTACCAGATTGCTTCTCGTAGGTGGATTTTTTTTACACGCACTTTTGCAAACTTTTTTCGGGGTCAGCCGGGTGTCTGATACATGCAGAAACCCATCACCGTGCTTAAGAGTGTGCAAACCAAGCTGAGAATTCCATGCATCCCACTTGGAAATCCCGGAGCGGGATTGTTGGAATGGAATGCGCACTCTCTCCCGAGAGGGACATCCCTTTGCTTATCTAATTCCATAAAGCATTAGGCGCAGGTTGGCAAGAGCCAAGGCTTGGAGACCCGAGAGAGTGCGTTGGGGTAACTGTTGGAGTCTGACCCGCTAAAGCTGCATAGCTTGCCATTGATATCGCTGGCCGGCAAGCTTTCCCACTGCTGGTCCAGCTCGGACCATTCTATTTGTTAAGGCTTTGGCTTGCAGGGTTTACAGGAGCTGAGTGGGGTTGACTCCCTGTCCCCAGTGACTGATCTGCCCTTCCAGGTCCTGCTGATGAGCCAGGCTGGCTGTGCTGTCATCAGCAGTGCCCTGAAATACTGCGGACTATGGTTCGGGAAGAGGACCACCGAGATCGCCACAGAGGACTGGCTCGATTCCAACCTTCCATTGCCAGGCATGTCACCTTGGAGCCAGTTCAGCTCCAAGGACACTCCGCTTGCCTCGCCCCAAGACGGATTGTTAAATAAGTCACTGGCGGCAAGGGAGGGAGAATAGGAGGGACAAATTTCACCTGGGTCAAGACTTGTAATATTCTCTGAGCATTTAAGAGCATTGCAGAATTTGATTAATAATATTATAATTTAATAACTATTAATTTTATAATTATATTTTATAATTATATTAATAAAATAATATAATTTAATAGTGTCATTATTATTGAAAAATTTGACATTATACTAATAATAATCCTTGCGTTTAATGTAGCACCTTATCACATCGTCAAGACGTCTCAAAGCGCTTTACAGGATATACTGTAAAGTCTAGGGACTGTGTAATTTGTGGGCGAAATGCGGCAGCCGATTATCGTTAATATCAATCCTAGTTTGAAGACGACTTCCATAAGAGCTATGGAAAGAGGCTTCATAAGCAAGGCTGAATTAAAGAACTTGCCTAAATCTGTACACTCTTGAGATGTTACGAAAATAGTCATAAGTCTAGACGTTAGGCTTCCCACCCAGTACTGTTACTTAAACCACGGTAGCGGGAGGAAGATTCCTTTTAATGCTACTGTGAGAGGTTATCAACAGGAAAGGCATTTAATAATAAAAATACATTGTCCTCTCTGTTTTATTAGCAGCACAACAGAATAAAGTAATTTCTGCTGTGCAACTGGTCTCTGCTGTTCAGTGTACAGTGTTAACATTCATAATAATAAACTAGCCATATTTATTTGGGAATGTTGGCCCGAATACCAGGAGTAACTCCCTTCTCTTTTCGAATTGTGCCGTGGGATCTTTAACGTCCACCTGAACAGGTTTAATGTCTCATCTGACAATGCAGCACACCCGCAGCCCGGTATTGGAGTGTCAGGATAGATTGTACGAAGTCCTGACATGAGGCTCGTTTCCACATTCTGATTTAGATGGAAGATCATAATCCCGTTGTAATATTTCTTACTTCTTTCTGTCCCTGAAAGGCAATCTCCTGGAATCTGTGTCTTGCCCTCCCACTGCTTCTCTCCTATAATTCTTGCTGTGTCTGTATGCTTTGATTGAGTTTAAAGGATTACTACTGGGTTTTGCAGGTGATTCTAAGTTTAGATAATAATAATCCATTTGCATTTGATAGAGGGCCTTATATAGAATTAGACTGATAACAGCATAGAATCAGGTCATTCATCCACGTCAATGTTTATACTTCACACAAGCCCCCCAACCCTTCAATTCCCCTCGATTCTCTTCTCCCTCACATACGGATTAAGTTTCATCTTAAATGACTTAAATAATTCAAAACATCTCAAAGTCCTTAAATGCCTAGAGTTTACCTTCCTTCGAATAGCGATACAGATCTTTCACACTTCCTTTCGTCCTTCAGATGAGAAGTTATGGTGAAACATGGACAGAGAGGACCTCAGTTTCATCCAAATGGAGACATCTCCAACAATACTACTGCTTGTGGGACATTGCTGTGTGCAATCGACTGTTACAAAATACTTTTAATATATATTTTGTGAAGCATTTGAGATGTCTCAACAATGTGAAAAGGTGCTATATCAAATGTAATTATTATATTATTGTACAGTGCCCCCAACCCCCAGCACTGCACTGGAGTGCCAACATGGGGACTTGAACCCACAACTTCTGGCTCAAAGGTATGAGTGCTACCAACAGGGCCAGGCCAACACTTGAAACACTTTTGCCAAGTTAATTTCAGATGTTCACAGATCAGATCAGGAGGGGGTGACTCCTTTAAAACAAAGCAGAAAGAAACCATTTGTTATGTCACTGACCTCCGTAAACCATGATTGGGTTTACAGGATTACGCTGAGGTTTGAGCAGGTGATCAGGTTCTGTGTTAAGCATAATAGTAATCCATTACTGCCTGATGTAACAGATCAAATCGGATTAGGTTTAAAGCAATCCTAATTTTAAACTGAGGATACGTTGCCTTTATAATGGTGATGTGTGGGAGGACAGGTTTATGAAACTACAGGCGGGGCAAAAAAGCACTGCATTAAAAATAAAATTAACACCATATAAAAAGTACCGTCTTAAAAATAAACAATGAAACTGTTTTGTAAAAAGGGCTTCAGAGTCGAGGAAAATCCAAACCAAAATAGTCCCAAATTAGGTATTAATGCACTATATACATATTAATTACTTATGTGCTACATATATATACTAAAAGACCAATTTCTTCTATCCTGTTGAATTTAATCTATTCAGGTGTCCACCAAGCTCAGTGGGTCGCCGCTTTCGCCTTCGAGACAGTAGGTTGTGGGTTCGTGCCCCACATCAGGCCTTTGAATTCACAGTCTAGGCTGACTCTCCAACATGGCGCTGGGGGTGTGTTGCATTGTTGGAGGTGCCGCCTTTCGCCTGTTCGGGCAAACGTTAAAGATCCAATGGCACTATTTGAAAGAGAAGAGAGTTTCTCTCTCCCAGTGTCCTGGCCAACATTCTACCAAATAAAATTGATCATTTACTTCATGGCTGCTTGTGGGACATTGTTGTTCACAAATTGATGGCCACATTGTCTTACAAAATGTGCAGTCTCTACGCTTTACAGTCACTGTATTTCTGATAAGGCGCTGCATCAAATGCAACAATTATTATTAATAATAAAAATCTCACACTAAAGCAAAATGCAGACACCACAGTGACTCCCTCAGTTATACCACAAACCTTTGAAACTATGTCTTTGAGAAGTCTCGAAGACCTGATAAGGCGCTATATCAAATGCAAGGATTCTTTATACATTATTATATAAACCCCAGGCATTACTTTAGCACAATCTTCATTGAAAAGTGTTGGACAAACCATTTTCTTTTACATTTGCACGCTAGCTACACAAAATCACAGTCCTAGATAAAGAAATGGATTTCTGACCTCCTCCCTGCAAACAAGAGCAATGTTAGCAACTGATGAGGTGGAGAACATTCACAGAAAGATCAATAGGACGAATGCCACCAGCAGGTCCTTTCATGAATGTCTCTGTCATGAACCCTTTGCCCTCAGCATACGTGTTGCCTTCTGACAGCAGTCACTCTGCTGTAGGGTGAGGCCATAGGGTTCATTTCTTGCATCAGATTGTCACATTCAAGCAAAACAGTCGAAAAGAGCATCTCTTCAACCTTGACTGTACTTGGCAGAGCAAAAAGGCACCACCAACAATGACTTGCATCCATATAACACCCTTAACATGGGGTAGCTTCTCAGAGTGCTTAACATCGCTTTTCTAACTCCTGATCCCCTTTCATTGGTCCTAGTTAATTGGTCCTTATTTTCTTAAAGGGTATTCAACATGCTGAGTTAACTGATCTTAATCAGGTGGACGACAGGGACATTACAACTTGTATCTTTTAGTTAAAGTGGAGTGGGGGTTAGTTATTGTTATTATAATAACTTGCTCCTTAATCGCTGTTAAGTGATCCCTGTCGGAACATAAGCACCCTGAGATGCTGTCTCACATTTAGTGTACTATATAAATATAAGTTGTTGTTGTTATGTGGACTTCAGTTGAGGATGGGCCTGAGACTGGGAAGAGTTATAAGCTAAAAAAAATACAAGAGTGAATTAACATCAGCAGCTGGAGATTAAAACAAGAATTGTGGCAACCTTGTCCCAATGCAAGTTATAGCTTGCAAGTTATATGGTGCCTTTCATGTCAAATAAACACACCAAAGTACTTTACATTTGCATCCTCGCATTCGATATAGCGCCTTATCACGTTGTTGAGATGTCTGAAGCTGCTTCACAGGACGTACTGTAAAATGGATTGAGAGTGCATTTTGTGGGCAAAACACGGCGGCCAATTGTGCAAAGTTTACATGTTGCCAGGTGTAAGATTTGATGTGGTGGGTTAAGCGTGAGTGTTGGTAATGGATTCTTCTTGCTGTCCCAATGGAAACATGAACAAACATAAATTATTTTACAAAAATGTGGATACATTTAAACTATATATATATAAATAAATAAATGGTATGGGATTGGATCAGAATAGGGGCATCATATGAAAAGCACCAGCACAGACTAAAACACGAAAGGCATTATATCAGAGCTGTGAAAAGCCAGTCAGTGACTGCCTCTCTTCTACTGATCAGGCTCCCTCATGGGGCCATGGTCGGGATTTCTACCGAGCTAGATTTCTGGTGTAATAATAATCCTTGCATTTGATATAGCGCCTTATCACTTCGTTGAGACGTCTCAAAGCGCTTCACAGGATATACTGTAAAGTGGATTGACTGCATATTTTGTAGGCATATTGCTGCAGCCATTTAAGCACAGCAGTATCCCACAAACAGTCGTGGTTTGAGTGACCAATTTTTTGGGGGGATGGGGAGAAAGAGGGATTATTAACCCCAGAAAGCGATCCAGCAATTGACTAACAACTGGGTTACAACTTACTGCTGGGTAAATGGAAGCATTTGGAGTAAGGAAATTTGCCTTAGGCTTTACCCCGCCCGGAAATTGAACTCAGGTCTTCTCGCTTGCGAGGGGAGTGCTCGAACCACTACACTACAGAACTCCACAGAAATGAAGCACATTGAATGGTGATCAATGAGAAAGCAGCACTGCTGTCCATCTGTATCCACGCTGGAAGACAGCAGCTCAGTGTAAAACATTTTATGCAAGGAGTTTGTTCAGGACCTAAAGGCTCCCCTCAAAAATTTAGAGGCTGTGGTTTAGTGAATACTACAATTATGAGTAACAAAAGGCTAATTGAACAGTATTGATCGATGCTGCACTTACATCCTGCAATATCCTTCCCCAAATTGCTTAATAAAATTCCAGCCGTCTTTGTGGTCAATCTGTGCATCAAGATGCTGTTGCAAGATTGCAGAGTCAACATTTCTTTTGACCATGACTGGAAATATGTCAGGCTGCCCCTGGGGAGGAAACAAGTGACTAGATATCTATCTGTACGTGGGATTCTTCCTCATTCAATCTCTATGGAGCCCGTGCTCGGTTTCGTAGCATTCTCACTCACCTTTGGGTCAGAAGTTTGCGGGTTCAATTTTGAATTGGGGACATTCCAACACACTTCTCGGGGGAGTGCATCAGTACAGGAGGTGCCGTCCTTCAGATGAGATGTGAAACTGAGATCGTGTTTGCCTGTCCAGGGTTTTCTTCATTCCCTCCCCAAAGAGGGACTGCAGGAGAGATGTGTAAGTGAATAGTGTACGGGAGGTGGAGGCCCGTGCACAGCAACTAACCAGGTCTAGTTTACCTCTGAGCAGAATTCGGCTTGTTTTCCTTTTTGTTCCTTCTGCTACGACCTGCATGTGCTCAGGTCGTTATAGGAGAAACTAACCACTATATTAGGCTAATCCCAATCCCTGAATTGTACTTTTCATCAGACCAAATTTGCATTCATTTTTACCTTTTAATCATTATTCTGCCTCTCAGTAGCTGGACATCAGGTCAGGATAGAATCCAGATCAGCTGTGATGCCTGTTCCTGTCCAGTATAATTAGTTAGCACTTACTGTTTGGGCTTTCAGTAAGATACTTGGGCAACATCTGTAACTGCACCTCACTTCACTCCTTCAAGAAGGGAGAGAGGTTGCAACACTTCATGTGGGGCTGATGAAACTTCTGCTCCAGTTCCAGATTTTGAGTTGCAAAGAGGAAAGTTACTACCAGATATGTTCTTTAGGCCTATATTGTGGTTTCGCTTACTTATCTGAGTATGTCAGAATGATGCAATTTTACCCACTTGTTTTCTTGTTGGATAAGAATGATGACTTTAGTCTTGGTTTCCATTTGGAAAGGAGGAAGAACATATGTCGAACTGACTAGTTCCTTCTCTTTGATAACAAAACATTCCCCACCCACTCAACTGGTTGTGAATCATCCGTTTTTCTTTGGTCAACCGGGTGTCTGACACACATGGAAACCCATCACCGTGCTTAAGAGTATCCACACCAAGATGAGAATTCCATGCATCCCACCTACACATGGAAATTCCAGAGATAGATTGTTGGAATCGAATGTGCACTCTCTTCCTGGAGGGACACATCCTGCTTACCCAATTCCAGAAAACATTAGGTGCAGGTTGGCAAGGCCCAAGGTGTTGGACTTTTGCTGGAATCTATATTGAGAAACGGAGATGGTTGAGGTGTTCATGTGGTTACACTAAGCCAACGTGGAACAAAGATTCACAGTTGCACCATAATTCTATCGTTGATAATTTAATTACAAACTCAAAACAATTTATAGTACAAAAGAACAAAATACTGCTCGTGTCGAGTGTATTTCTGGTAGTTCTGCCCTTACTCAAACCCCTGTCAATTCACATATTTACACATCTTAAGAGTGTTTTAAAGGCCGGCACAAGATCGTTTCTGCTTTCTCGCTAAATCTGACGTACACCCACACTTTATTAAACAAACACACACACAAAGAGTATTTTAATCAGTCCAAGGGAGAGTTGCACTCAAGTGTTCATCACACATCTACAAGTCTGTAGTTTTGGATGAATAATATCCCAGTTCTGACTGCGTGGGGGGGGGGGGGGGGGGGGGGGGGGGGGGAAGGAAAGAGACAAGATAACTTTCTGCATCTTGAGCAAAACAGTGTGTGTGAAATTGTGCAGCATGCAAGCAAGAGGCAGGTTGAGTACATGAATAATAACCACCAATGTTCTGAATCATGGTCATGCATATTTGTTCCATTCATGTCCTTCAATGTCGAAAGTCAAGACATGCTGCAAATTCCACCTCAAAACAGCTTTTAGGCTGTTTTTTGCTAAACTATCCTTAGGTGATCCTAGTTCTCAAAACATCTCATATTTATGGCTCTTCAGTACAGTACATCAGACTAGATAGGTAAGACGTTGCCACTTAATCTACATGTTCCTTCTCTTGTGTTAGATTTGCAATTGAACCCAGAAAATACTGTTTAAAAGAAACAAAAGGAAACCCCTTGCTGGTCTGCTTTAAATATGGTTAACGCCAATTAATCACCAATTGGATTGTAGCAGTTAGAATGAGTGTACAAGAGGCCCAAAAATTCACCTAATCTTACCTTGTAAGATTATTTTATCTTAAAAAGTAAAGATCACATAGAACTGTAGAAGTTCTTAAAACGAATCTTAAATTAGAAGCTGGTTTTCAATAATTATTATAAAGAAAACAAGTTCCAGTTTAAGACTGGATTTAAGAATTTTCCACAATTCTGCGCAGTCCTAAATATTAAGACAAAAAGGTCGAGGCCGAAGTTCCAGCTGTAGGGAGTGTTCGAGGAACGATGTAAGATGCCATCTCTTTCGTTTGCATACAATTGCTCACTGTCCTTCCTGTAATTCCTGTAGATGTCTCGACCACACGATAAAGCGCTGTATCAAATTCAAACATTATTTGTCAACTCTCTACATCTGATCATTTAAGGATGTCACAGCAGGCTGTATTCCTACTAATTTAAGGATATTAGATAGTAATTGCACAGTAATTGAAGTATCACAAAACATTTTCCTGGCTCTTGCTCAAGTACGATCATCAGGTGAAAATGAAAATACAAGATATACGATTGACGACAGAGTTAGCCTGCGCCCATCACTACCCATTGCTAGCGGGGGCCCTATCTGTAAGACTGAATGAGAATAAAATCTACAGTCTGAAATGACACCTCTCCTTTCGTGATCTAGGAACTTCCTATCTGACACTCCCTATCTAAGATTTACGCTAGGAACTGAAAGTTGATGGGATATCTGTGAAACTGCATTTCCTTGGGATCAGAGAATCTCCTGCACCCCCCCACCCCGACCACCATCACACACAACTGTATTTTGCAATAAACCAATAAACCTCATTTGCTGCCTGTAGATTATTGTACCAAATATACTGAATCATTCAAGAAAAATCCAATTACATGTGCAGCTGTGTTCTGATATTCAAAAGGGGGCTGTAGTCTTCTGTCCTCCACTTTCCTCTCAAATTGCCCATTTGATGTACGAGAAGGATTCAAAATAATCGTTCACCACCAAATACTACTATCGTCAAAGGGGTCTTTGTTCATTCTCACCGAAATCTATACCCAGTCTTACCAGAAGGAAGAGGCTTCAAGAGCAGCCCCACAAGTGGAGTGGAGCAACATCTACCTTTTGTTCAAAGGTCTCAACTGCAGACTTTGCTCTCCCTCTTTTTTACAATGGCTCGTAGAGTCTTAACTCAAGTTGGAAGATAGATTAAAACAAGGGAGGTTTTGAACACGAGTGGCTTTCTGTGCCAAGCCATTCTGAAGGTTTTGTGCTTCTCCTCTCCCCCGCCAATGCAAATCTTGCACGAAAGAATGAGAGGTTGTGGACGGTATCTGAAGCAATATGGAGCAAAGTTACAGTGTGCAATGCCAGACTGTCCAAATGGCTACAGTGAGGGTGCTACTTGAATCAGAGTGTGAGATAGAGTGCTTTACACTATTCTCTGCAGCAGTTTAACATTGGTGTGGAACACTAGATTGTGCTCCCCACCTTGGGCAGTTATTATAGATTACACTGAGCTTTTAAGTATATTTCAGATCCACCCAGGAAACCAGACATGACCTTGGCCCAGCCTAAATTGCACTAAAATGACTGAACCAAGTGGCCTTTGGTATAAATGCACAGAGTACTTCTGCAATCCTCAGCAGCGACAAGCAGTCTGAAATGACAGTCCACAGGTAATACTGTATACACGATCAATCGAATGGTCACAGCATTGAGAGCCAAAACAAATTCGGCATTTTACTGGACATGGCAAGGTTATTTGTGTTTTCAGATAGAAAAGACGATTTATCCTGGCCTTGTCGAAAACTCTAGCATATTTTGAGGGATTCTGAGGATATATTCTGTGTGACATAGGCACCTGTTACAAACATATTCAACACTCTGCATTATTACAAAGTGTAATTTTATCATTGACCAGTGCACATGCAGTCAAGACCTAAACCCGAATAACAGTGGGACCTTAATTACCTGTCAGAATGAAGTACCCTTCCTCCTTCTCCTCCATGGATAATAGACATTGGTGGATAATTAAAGTCCCATTGTATTTAAGTAGGAGCTGAGCAACCCAGTGAGTTTCAGCAATGCCTGAACAGAAAGTAATCTTCAAATATTTTAAAATATATTAAAGGAAAAATAATTCCACATCATGGTAATTCCAATCCCTATACCTTTGCCATACAAATTGTATACACAATAATTTAATATTAGAATCTGCAAAATAGGTCCATATATCTTTAAATACAGAACAGCAGAATTCTATTAGCTTCAGAAATCTGCACGTTCAGTTTGCCAAGGATCAAGTAACCATAACTAAGTAGAAAATAACAAATTTCTGCAGCTATCACTTTTATCTTACATTTCAGATGGTTTTCCCTGGTCTTTCAGATAAAATTACATTGATTGTTCCAATGTGATGAGTCAACGGAAGAGACATTGATAGACCATTTCGGTTCTGAAAAAAGTTACTTTTCATTGTTCGATGCAGTGAAATGCAATGATTTTACAGCGTTTAAAAATAAAAAATACGACAGTTCATCTGATTGTGATTGTAAGAATAAATTGCACGCCATCGTCCCTTAACTGTCAAATTACTACATAACATATGGTCCTTCTCTGGGCCGATCAGACTTTCTGCAAACACCCATTTGCCAGAGCAATGCAGAAGTTTGGGATTACCTGTGTGGGTGGTTCTGTAAATTCTCTGTAGGGTTGAAAGCTTGGCCACAGCTCAGGAAAGGGCTGTTTGTGATTCTGACGCCACTCGGGAAGGGGAGCAGAATGGAAGCTGAGTTAGGTAGTGGATTATCCATTTTCACACTTACGGTGGAAAATTGAGGTTCTGGTATACTGAGGAAATGTGCCCTTTTCAGCAATCTCTGGTGCCTCACTAGTCCATGCATTGCTAAGCCTCAAGTTCAACTCCAGTGTTTTGCCTTGGAAAGAGTTTATCATCCAACATGCATTTTACCAAAAAGATTTTAATACGTCTGCACTGAATAGGCTTCACGTTTTTGTGTTAGCAACTTTAATAGGTGGGTGAGTATTAGTGTCAGAGACTGAAGTGTAAGAGGGTGTATATTAATATATTTAAGAGGAATCTTGATGCATACGTGGAGGAAGACAGGAATAGGAGTGTATGTGAGGGGATTAGGAAAGTTGGGGACTTGTGTGAAGTACAAATAGAAGCATGGACTTGTGGGGCTGAATGACCGTTAGTGTTGTAGTGTCGTATATAATGTAGTTAGTGTGATCACATCTGGGGAAGAAGAGACTGCACAGGAATCAATCTGTGGCATGAAATTAGGTGGAATCACGGTCAATTTAAAAAGGACTATGGGCAAATGTAAGTAACAGCGAAGAAATGAGATACAGCCTAGCTCATTGGCCTTCAACTCTGGTGGTTCAGCTGTACAAACAATGGGATCTCTCTCACAATCCATGAGCATCCTCCTGGTAACTGATCAAACGCCCAGTTGTTTTTCAGACCAACTTCTAATTGGATTTTTTTTTTTGCGTGAAATGAATTGGCAGCCCCTCTTGATAGCAAAGTCAGGGTTATGGCCTGGAGGCCAGGGTTAACAGGTAGCCACAAAGCAAATCCTTCATCCAGATTTCTCTGCAACCATGGTACTGGACATTTGGCAGACAGGCCAGGTCATTTCAAAGTGTTTGGCTTGATAATCTATTGCTGTGAACAGAGAAAGCACAGCTGCAATAATCCTGTGAGACGTTCAAGACCCTCCAGCACCACAGGATAAGTCAACGGGGTTTAACCTGCTCTAAATGTTGACTGCAGCAGAGCACGGACGTGCACATGATTTAAGGATGCTTTATCTACTCACAGCAAACACAGTAGTTTCACTCAGAAATCCCCAAGGTAATGAAATTTACACTGATGTTCTCAAGTCACAGCAGAGAATTTCGTGGGATAATTTTTTTTGCTGACCACAAATAAGTACACAAGGCCCATTCTGGAAAGCAACCTCGATGAGGTACCCCTTTAATCCTGCACAGTTCTGAGGGACGTTTAAAGTTGCCTTGGCTTCGCAATCGGATAGCGGGAGCCAAACCAAAACCCAGGGCATTGCAAAGGACAAAAAAAAATCCTCAATTAAATTGTTAAGAGGTCAAGCCACAATTACACCTTACAGGCTGCTCCCTTGAACAAGCAGTGTTTTCAAGAGGAAACAGCTGGCAATTGTAAAAAGGAAGCCGGTGAAGGCACAAGCAACTGAGGACACATACAACTGATCACGTGATACGTCGGGAATCCCAGAAAATTGGGGTATGATTCCTCTTTGAACGAGAATCCCTTAAGATTGATCAGCGGTGGAATAAAGCCTTCACCTCAGATATGACCCACAATAGTTGGTTTTGGACCTCATCCGTAAAACACACGTGTTACAATTTTATTAATAACCGGGAAAAATCTTCCACCCATTAAACGGGGGAGGTGGCAGTGTTAACCCCCCTCCCACACACACACACACACACACGCTCGCTCGCTCTTGGTATGCACAGACAGCTCGGACCAGGACTCTACGGACTAAAAGAGATGAATCTGTAAACAATGAAGAGCTGAACATTTGCTGAGGTACTTCAGACAATTAAAAACAAAACTCGAGTCACCAATCCTCACGCCGACAGCAAGAGCATCACAGCTACCTCTGTACAATGTCGCTGAGCTCTTTGACACATGTCAGCAAGTTACTGAGCACAGGGTTTGTAGGCAGTCCCGTGGAGGCTGTGGAGGACACCTGCAGGACCTGCAGGCTTAGTTCAAGTTTGCCCACAGCTTCCCGGAAAGCAAATTTATTCCTCATTTGCGTGATGCAGTCCACATAACCAGAAGAATAATCCAGCAACCGGTGCCCAGCTTCAACTAACTGACTGTTGGACGTCACCTCTGAGCTGCTGTCAATGGCACTGGACAGAAACTCAGCACACTCCAGCAATGCTTCCTTGCTGATTTTTTCCATCGGCACCTTTTCCGGTGGCAGCTTAGTTTTGCGCAAGGAAACGCGGGCACCGGTCGATACCGAGGCACCGTTGGTAAGTCTGGATATCGCTGCCAGGGAAACGGATAAAGCTACAGGCACTTGAGGGGGCGGCATGGACGGTCGAGAGATTTTACCACCACCCACTGCCACCGTTGGCCTTTTACCACCTACACCGTTGATCTCAAGCTCTGGCTGTCCTGTTGAAGTGCTCTCACAATCCCCTGACGTCTCCGTGATGTTGAGTCCGGTGCTTGGCGGAGGCTGTAAAAGTTTTAGAGAAGGCGGAGGGGGTGGGGGTGGCGCGCATTTTGGCTTCACAAGTCTCGGCCTCTCCCTGTCAGACGACCCAATCTGGTGCTCGGACAAAAGCTTAAACTTATTTCCCAGAGAATCCATTCCGATCAGCTGAACCTCCGCAGGGGAGTGTTTCAAAGTTGGTGATATCAAGACAGGTACTTTGTGGTTGTGGGTGGTCGGGAGTGTAGAACAGGCCTTTGCTGGGGACATCCAACCCACCTTGTCCACATCCTCTTTGACGCCCATGGTTCCTGAATAGCTGCTGTTGGTTTCCCCACGTCCCGCTGTCACTGTGTTGGGGCTTTGCGGGAAGTCACAGTCTCCTGATGCACCGTCGCCTACGTAGGCAGCTAGAGTAGCGGCTGCAGCACTCCTCGCCAAGAATTTTGCTTTCGATTTGTCCCGAGGCGAACCGGTTCCGTCCTCTACTTTTCTGTGCAGTGGATCAGTCAATCTCCCTGGACCCTCCTCTCTGCTGATAATGGGTGCTTGGTGATCCAGCTGAATCCGATTCCGCTGACAATTCCTGGGAAGAGTCAAGGCCAGACGATCCAGCTCCTGAAGCCCCGATGACATGGACGAAGTAGAGTTGGATCGCGGGAAGGGTTTGGTGCCTTCCAGGCTTGAATCGTCGTTGCTTGAAGGCTTTCCAGCTTTCAAGCCAAGGGTCTTTTTTATTAAGCGCGGAGTGAAAAACCCAGCAAATCCCGCCCACCCACTTCCTCCAGTCACGCCCCCGTTAGAGTTTCTTTGCTCGGAACCCCTTCCGCAGCACCTCGCTGGGGTGTGATTGGCTTCGGCGTGCGACTGGACAAAAGTAAGACCATCTGAGTGCTGGAAAGACGAGAAAGAAGAAAAGTTACCCGTTATCTCGTATTTTTTGTGTGGGTGGTTCTCCATCTCTCGGAAGGAGCTGCTGCGTTTGGGAGGCATAGGGACACTCTTCTTCTTCATAAAGGAGCTGAAGAAGCCAGCCTTTCTGTCCCGGGTGAAAAGGGTCTCTTTGCTATCGTCCAGCAGACCACTTGGCGATTTGTCTCTCTGCTTGCGAGGCAGTGCTGGTGAGACGCTACAAGGGACTGTGCTTGTTCCCATTCCTAGTGGAAAACAAAATGAGATTGAATGGAACTGAATGGTACTCAATTGCATGTTTAACCCTGAGAGCGAAAATCGTTTTCCCTCACGTTTGTGCTTCCAGAACCCTTTTCTTATTTGTCACTCAATCCACGACTGTTTATGGGACACTGCTGTGTGCAATTGGTTGCCACGTTTCACCCACAAGATACAGTTAATCCACTTTACAATATATTCTTTGAAGTGCTTTGAGACTTCTCAACGACGTGATAAGGCGCTTTATCAAATGCAAGGACTATTATTATGATTATTACAGGAGCTAGGGTAACAATAAGGAGAAAAAAATAGGAGGAAACTGCAGCTACAAGCACTACAAGAATCTCTACATAATGTGATTGAGTCTCACGATTAATTACCAGTGGAATTCAAGTTGTATTAAAATCAAGACACATCACACTTGAACAAACCCGTTCTTGAACAAAACTTTAAGACTGTGGAAATACTTCCTTCGATTTGTGCTGCGATCCACAGCCTTTTAAAACCTGAGCTTGGCTTCAGCTAATCACTCCTCCCCGATTCATCCAGTTCCTCTCTCCAATTCAAACTTGGTAGCGGACTGCACTAAGTGCCTATGGCCCTTCACCTAGATTTCTGATCAAGAAAAGCTCTACTACTTGTCAGCCAGGATCTTTCTTTTATGACGAGGGTAACTGGGATGGCTGCCAGATTTGCTGATTGGCTTCTTTACATAAAGCGACTGCAGGTCACGGAGGAAGTCTAGCTTATTCAGTTGTCATTCTAATAACTCAAGCTGATACAGAAGTTAGGAAGAGATAACAATAAAGGACAGGAGAGAGGGATAAAAAAAAGCGAACCGGAAGGTACAGGAGTACCTGACACTGTGGTATGAGCTGCAGGGGGATGATCCATGTCCATGTTTTCCTTATTTTCGGCACTTTTTTTTAGTGTTCGAGTTTTTGTTGGGAGCAAAGGTAACTGAGGCTGATGGCTGATCAAAGACGACGACGCAGTTTTGCACAGTTCTTCTGCAACTTCTGTTGGAGCAAAGAGCATTGAGAGTGACGACACTTCATTTTGTAAAGTGTTCAAAACTGCATATTTCCTATAACTGCAGCCTTCTCCAGTTACATTTAATTAACCTTTGAAGAAGCTTCTACAATTTTTTTATATAAATGTCACCAACTTATCCAAAACAAAACATTGCATTGAAGAACCTCTCACCCGATCATCGTCTTCCAGGAATAACAGATATTGCCATAATCATAATACAATCCTTGCATTTGATAATAGTGCCTTATCACCTCATCGAGACATCTCAAAGATTTTTATTGTGGTGCCATGACAATTTGCACAAAGTAATGTCCCAGAAACAGCCAATGACTGATCCGACAGATTTTATTTGGGGGATTGTTGGCCAGGACCCATGATGGTAGTAGCATAGGATCTTTAACATCTACCTAATAGGCAGACAGGACCTCAGTTTAACGTCTCATCCGAAAGACGACACCTCTGACAATAATGATAATAATAATCCTTGCATTTGATATAGCGCCTTATTATGTTGAGACGTCTCAAAGCACTTTACAGAATATATTGTAAAGTGGATTGACTATTTTATGGACAATTCAGTGTATCTCCAGCACTATACTGTAGTGTCAGCCTAGATTTTTAATTCAAAGTCCCCAAAGTGAGGCTTGAGCTCACAAACTTCTGACAAAGAGGTGAGATGTTCCGTCTAAGCCAGGCTGATACCTATGAAAAGAGATTACAACCTTGGACTAAAATAGAGAACGTTGTGAAGAGACCTGATAGGGATTGACAATTTTAGAAGGTAAATAGGGAGAAACGGTTTTCACTTCTCAACGAGTACACAAATGGAAGGTAAGAAATTTAAGATTATCATCAAAACTAAAGCTAAAAGGGATAGTGGAAGAATATTGTTTCACACACAGACGATTATTAGACCATGGAATGCCCAACCAAAAGCATGTCAAAGTAGAATCCTTAAATTATATTTAAAGGATAATTAGCCAAATATTTGAAAAGAAAAATTCTAAATGGGTAAAGTCAAGGAAGTGGAACTAGGCAGATACTTATTTCAGAGACGGCACAGGAGTGATGGAATCAATGGCTCTCTGCTGTGCTAAAAAAAACCTCTATAATAAGAGAAAGTTTGAATGCATTCAATACAACAATAAAAGCAGTTATGCAAAAGCTAGTTTCTTGGGAGTACCTGTTCCGATCAACTTGGACTCGGGAGCCTTAAAGGAAATAAGGGGGACTGAAATTAGTGCTCTTTCAACTAACACTTTTGTATTTTCATTAAATTCAGGAAACTTAAAAAATGCAAACAATCGAGAGAAATGCGGAAGGTAGTATGTTTATCATCAACTGTATATTAAAAAAAGGCTTTCAGACAATTTTGAAAGTTCCAGTAACTAGCTAAAGGACATCTCAAAGAACTTCAAGAGTAATTACTGTCAAGTGTACTGACTTTTTGTTGGCAAACGTGGCAGTCATTTGCAAACAAATCCAATTTATCTGGAAGATTGCTGGCTGACACCGGGAGAAACCAGTATCTTTGATGTCCATCTGAAAAAGGAGATGGTTATCCCTGTTGAATGTCTCATTCAAAAGGTGTCATCTGCATCAATGCAGCGCACTAGGGCTTTTGACCAACTGAGCCATCCTGACACTTCAGGAATGACTATATTGCCCTTGAGAGTAAAGACACAAACCAGAGGATAACAGTTCATAAATATTGAAATACAGTGGCCAGTTAACAAAATGTGCTTGTTCTGCTTATGAGTGAGGAGACAATGAGGTTGATTTTCAAATAACGGGGGAAATCACAAGGTTGATCTGGGAAAATTGTTCAATGTCAGGAAGGTTTAAAATACTGTGGAATCAAGAACATAAGAAGGCAGATTTTTTTTTTAAAACGCACAAAGGGCAACTGTAGAAGAAGTTACTTGGTTCTTTTTTAAAAAAGACGTTGCACTACCCTCAATATTAGGACTAAATATCTCTATATCAAGATCTGGAGCAATCAACAGTTGTCAAAAGAAACTGCTTGTGACAATGACTACAGTCCAGAGAAATGTGAATGAAAGCTTGCCAAATTCCACAAATCTATTTACCTTCTGAAATGCTGGAATCGTGAAACATGGAATCAAATGCTTGATGGATCTCAGCAAACGATGGGCGGTCCATTGGATTCCACTGCCAACCTGAGAGAACAAACAGGGCCATGAGAAAGGCGAGATACTTAAGAGTATCATGAAAGATTCATTTAAAACAAACACACTTATCAACGCTGTATTTATTAGATTTAAAATCAACTATTTGGATACATGACAAGCTAACAGAAGAGGTCCTTATTGATCAGTACATTTTTCCCTTGAAAGATCATTAACTGCCTAAAAATTAGCATATTCTCCATACTTACATGATCCCATTAGCTCATAGACTTTTGGCGGACATCCTTCAGGCTGTTCCATTCGATATCCTTTCTCAAGTAGATCATACACCTGAGACAGATCGATTCCTGGATATGGTGACATACCGTACGTGGCAATTTCCCAAAGGAGCACACCAAAGGCTGATTGGGATTAGAAAGATATAGAGTAAGCACATAATTTCTTGCACAAGACAAGTAAATCAAGGCAAACAGAGGTCAGCGAATGAAAAAAAGAGAAATAGAAATGGTAGCTATTAGTGGGAAACTGCCTCATCAAATTCAATGCAAAATTTGTCTACAAAATAGTTACTACCTTTTACAATATATCCTATGAAAGGTTTTGAGGCATCCTTCCAACGTGAAAGGCACGTTGAAACGCAATCTGCCAATCGACTAGCAACTGACATCCTACTTACTGCCAGGTAAATAGTGGCGTGTTGAGCCAGGAAACTACTCAATAATGATTACAAGTTGAAATCGCTGAGCAAATATCAAGCAGCTGTACTTACCCCACACGTCAGATTTGATGGAGAAGGTGTTGTAAGCAAGGCTTTCTGGTGCAGTCCATTTAATTGGAAATTTAGCTCCAGCGTGGGCAGTGTAAGTATCGCCAGTCATTAACCTGCTCAAGCCAAAGTCTGCAACTTTTACCACGTGGTTCTCACCGACCAGGCAGTTACGAGCAGCCAAGTCTCTGTAGAACAGAGAGGCAGGATCAGTACCAGTGTGCAGTTACAACTGAGATCAGTCTATAAATGCGTGATGAGGTATCAATGTCACTCAATACTCAGTTACAGCATGACCTCAGGTAGCTCACAATTTAAATTCTCAGCTCTAAAAATTGAAGTCCAAAAGTAAGGTATGCTTCCCTCTTGCCACCCCACCCTCTTTCCCACCTTTAAAGTCTGCCTTGAGGGCTTTCTTTGTCTGTGTTTTGGTCACTTTTCTCCACCAACCCAACCTTCTCAGCTCCCCACGTACCCAGTTCAAGCTCCCAGGTACAGTTGTTGGTTTCCTGTCACTACACTGCTCTGAATCACATCTGGAAAATAGCCTTGTACCCCCACCCTATGGAGCTCATCCTGGTATCCCTTCCCCTCTCCCCCTCCCTTGCCTCTTTCAAGGCCCGTCTCAAGACCTTCCTCTTTGACCATGCCTTCGGACATCCTCCCACCTCCCTTACCATCCACACTTCGCGATTCCAGCCCCCAGCTCAAGTGCAAACCCTTGAATGTCCAGCACCTTGGGATGTGCTCCCGACGTGAAAGGCGCTATATAAATGCAATTTGTTGTTAACACAACTCTGCCCCCAAATACAGATCAATAATTCTGTACCAAGCCCTAAAGTGCTACTTTGTTAAATTATCTTTGTGGAATGCACAAGAGGGTGTCAGCCACCATGTGTAGGCTGGCTTTCATTTGGCAGTAGGGTCCTGTCAATTTGAGAACAACGCCTGTAAACTTTGCAAAATGTCTGACCTGTGAATGAAGTTCCTCTTCTCCAGGTACTCCATGGCAGAGGAGATCTGCGTGGCCATATAAAGCAGCACCACAGCATTCACCTCCTCCTTGTTGCACTCGCGAAGGTAATCCAGCAAATTCCCATGGGGCATATATTCAGTCACAATGTAAAAGGGCGGCTCCAGAGTACAGACGCCTAGAAATACAGAAACCTGCATTAACTCAGAGCACCTCAACACTCACCAACAGCGCATAAACACTAACAAAATCTACTATTTATTCAGTCACCAATTTGCATAGTTAGAAACACAACCTCAGAAATGTGCAATTTTGAGATTGCTAAGTTTTTTTTAAATACATGGTCCAAATGAACTGTAGATTCCACACGTACTCTCACCTAGTAACTGGACTAAGTTGGGATGTTTAATCTCCTTCATTACAGCAGCTTCTTTCAGAAATTCTTCCACCTCCATTGTGTCCTCCTTGTTTGTTTAAAAAAGACAAGTAAAAGAAATGTAAATGATTATTAATAATAACAACCCTTGCATTTGGTATAGCGCCTTATCACATCATCGAGATATCGCAAGGCGCTTCACGGAATATTCTATAAAATGTGTTTATGGGCAAAACACGGCAGTCAGTTTCACGCACAACACTGTCCACCAAACAGCCATGGAGTGAGTGACAGATTTTATTTGGGAGATTTTTTGCCAGGAAACCAGGAGAAACTTCCTTCTCTTTTCAAATAGCGCCATGGGAACTTTAACGTCCACCTGAACAGGCATTATACGTGACGCCAACTGCAAATCAAGACATAAGCATTAAAAGCCCAGCATCAGATATTATTAGGTACTGCAAGTCAATGGTGCCGAAGGCATAATACAGGAGCATGCTCCAGACTTTGAGGGGAATAAAGAAATACCTGACCCATGATAGCAGCATTGGTTCTGCACTGAGTAAGCGCTCTCAGAAGCTACCCTGAGTGAGGGGTGCAATATAGATATACATCGTTGTTATCGTTGAGTGACAAATCATTTGCTCCTGACATCTTTAAAGGCTCTTTCATCATGTGATCTCTTCCTTCCCACACTGACTTGCTGTGCAGTTCTTTGTGTGGATAATGCTAAATGACATGACCACCATGTGGAGCTCTAACCGTTCTCTCCAATGTGGCATTTGTGTACAAATACAACGACTGGCTTAGCAGTAAATCCTGTCAAGCGCTTTGAGGTGTCAAATGTAAGGATTATTATTCATTGAATTACTAAGTAAAAGGCTTACGAAATAACAGAGGAAAAACTCGGAGGCAAGTTAGATTCGCAACAAAATGGTAGGGTTTCATTTTAAACTAGCTGAAATTTCTAGTTATCCAGTTGTAACCATTTTCTGCTCATTGAAAAGTTACAAAGCTGACTAGCAAGTAAAATAGGTGGTTTAAACATATCTGGGAAAGGAACAACAAGCAACAAAAGCAACAAAGACATCACCTATTTAAAAATTGCATTCCTGCAAAAGCAATGGATTTTAGTTATAAAAGAAAAAATTGTGTGTGTATGTGTGGGGGGGGGGGGGGGGTATTTTCTGACCAAAATTCCCATGTGCTCCAGTGAATAGCCCTCACAAATCTGTATCAGACTGACAGGTCTATGAGATCAACAGGACTTTCTGTGTACCATACAACTTATGAAGCACCTTAACAAAATGAACAAATCTGCGGGCAAAGTAGAACAAAGACTAAACCATACTTTTCTAGACCAGATCCGAGTCATCACCTGCCACCTAACCAAATCATTACCTCCTTCCTACGTAAGATTCTGATATTCACTTCTTCCATATGTCAAGACAGACAATGTTAGATAGCTGATGGATTATCATATGTTACATTAACAAAACTTATGGCCGGGTACAATGTTCGTTTCAATCTGTAAGAAGTGTAAAAGGCCATGACATACCTTCAGTGTTTTTACTGCTACAGTTAAGCTGTATTTCTTCCAGACTCCGACGTACACCTCACCGTACTGCCCTCCGCCCAGCTTGTGTTTCATGGTTATGTCAGTGCGTTCCATCTCCCACTTGTCGTGTATTGGGGAGACTCCGTAAACGGTGGGCTTGTTGCATTTTGGGGCAGGGTAGTGCAGGGTTGTGACCAATCCGTCGGCCACTGTGGAATGGTGATGAACAAGCTCCGCCAATGTGTTAAACCGGCTTTCTGCTGTCACATACACCTAAAGAAACAGCACATTTAGAACGGGCTTTCACAAATGGCAAATAGATTCCATCAAAATAAATTACTTTAGTACAATGGGGGGCTGCAAAATGGTGGAGCAGAGAGGATGAGCTAGCACTATCTTTGACTCAATGGGCAGAAGGGTATAAATACTATCTATTGCCCTGGTAAGCGTTTCCTTTTCATTCTAACTAAATTAAGTCAATCTCAGTTAAATGAAAGGGTCCATTTCTACAAACATATACATCATTTAGCTTATTATGCAGAAATGCCTATTGCCAAGACAATTCACAAACAGCAACAAAAATTGCATTTATATAACGCCTTTCAGGTCGGGAGGACTTCCCAAGGCACACAAGTAATATAAACAGCCACAATTACTAATACTGTGAATTCACTCCAGTCACAGAAACAGACCAAACAGCCCATTTTGTGGGCAAACTAAGTGGTTTGCTCATCAGAATTTAGAAGTGTCTCAATGCTGCATTGGTACAGTAAAAGTAAAGAGTTTAGTTTGCAATAAAATTTAAAAAGCCCAAAGCAATGCCTTGAAGGGTTCAAAACCCATACCATTCTGTCACTGCTGGGCCCTTAAACAAGCTTGTAATTATAGAAATGTCTTCTTTATCCCAGATTGTTTCAAATTAATCTCTTATTCTGACAGGGCACTAAGATTAATGTTTACACGATTTCTGGACCCTGGCAATGTATGACACACAAAGATTAATATCCCAAACATTGAGCTTCTCTCACTTGTTCAAACCGTGCCCCAAGTGGGGCCAGAAATCTGGAATCATTTTACACAAGAGATAAATTACAAGCATAAAACAACTTGCACTTATATAGCATCCTTCACTTAGGGTAGCATCTCAGGGCGCTTAACAGTGGTGAGAAGCCCGACTCTGAACCGGGGGAGGGGTGGTGTAAGCACGGTCGAAGAGGAAGGTCTTCAGAAGGGATTTGAAAAAGGGGAGTCTGGGGGCAAGGTGGATTGAGGGAGAGTGTTCCAGAGTTTTGGGGCGTAGTGGCTGAAAGCGCGACCTCCGATGGTGGGGTGGAGGGTGTGAGGGATAAGCAGGAGGCCGGTGCCATTTGAGCGAAGGCGCCGGGTGATGGTTTGGGGAGTGAGGAGGTCAGAGAGGTAGGGAAGTGCTGCAAGTGTGAGGATCTTGAAGTTGATCCGTTCGGTGATGGGGAGCCAGTGGAGCCTGGCCAGAACTGCTGAGATGTGGGTACGGACTTTGGTTCAGGAAAGTATGCGGGTGGCAGAGTTCTGAATGAGCTGGATCTTTTGAACAATGGAGCTGGGGAGATCGTTGAGGAGAGCGTTTGAGTAATCCAAGCGGAAAGTGACAAATGTATGCACGAGGGTTTAGGCTGCATTTGGGGTAAGGTACGGTAAGGTAAAAGACAAATACCAGCATTATTAAAGGATTAAAAAGAAAGTTGATCAACAGTGGACTTCAAGACCAGTGAGAATTCAGGTTATTTCAAACAAAAACCCGGTGTAACTCTGGCTTCCTCGCAAAGTCCCAATTACTCAAAATCTCGTTAATCGTTAACGGATTTTGTCTGTTCTTGTCGAGAGGACCTGACAGCATCAAAAGAAAAAACAGAATATGCTCTCGAAGTTTGACAAGATACATCATTCAACTCATTCCACTCAAACTGAACCCTCACTTACCTAGCATTGCTAACAATCACACAGAAACGCAGATCACAGCAAAACAATCAATCAATCAGCCATGTTTCACCCACAAAAATACAGTCAATCCTTTTTACAATATATTCTTTGAAGCATTTTTAGACGTATCAACGACTTGATAAGGCGATAGATCAAATGTAAGGATTATTATTATCATCAGCCTGCACGGTGGTAAACAGTATACAATGACGATTAACTGATAGAAAACAAAACCTTTTTGCTCTTCCCTAAATGTGCACGAATTGGTGTAAGTCACTAAAGAGTTGTTATTATAAAGTATTTCAGTGAGTATTAGGAATCTGAATCATGATGTGACCTCATCTTTGTCGCCAGTTTAAAGCAGGGACATGTCTGGGTTTATCAAATCCCACCCAGGCTCCACGCATGATGTCAATACTTGACCAAATGAGACACACTGCGGTAGCTGAGCTTCATTAGTACAGTATGTGGGTGGGACACTTATACACAGGAGCATGACATCAATCTCTGCGTGGAAGTTGTTTTCAGTCGTTGCCTCATTACTCTTTTAATTACACAACACTGAACTAAATAGGAACATCGATCCCTTTATTTGGATGACTCCCTGGCTCCCTATTCAACAACAACAAATTGCATTTATATAGCGCCTTTCAAGTCAAGAGAACGTCCCAAGGTGTGGGACAGTGATTGCACCCGAGCTGCGGGCTGGAGTCAAGAGGGGTGGTGGGAGGGGAGGGAGGGGTGGGAAGATGACCAAAGGCAGGATCGAAGAGGAAGGTCTTGGGACGGGCTCCGGGATTAAGTTCCAGAGGGTGGGTGCAGAAAGGCTAAAGGGCCGACCTCCGATGGTGGAGCGCAGTGCATGTGGAGCAGGCTAGTGCCTGCCAAGAGAAGGGAGTGGGCAAGTTGGTAGGGTTTTAAGAGGTCACAGAGGTAGGTTACAGGAAGACCATGGATGCCTTTAAAGGTGAGAACAACTATATTCCCCAACAAATTAGCGTAGACCCTCATTCTAACTTTGAAAAGTCTTCATGCCCTTGCCCAACATTGCCCTCATCTCCTGTTGTCCTACATCCCTTCCACTCCATGAACTCATGTCTCGTCCATAGCCCTCATCCCTTTGCCCAACTGTAGTGAGCTTCTAAGCCTTGGACTAGATCTTCAGTCATCTCTCTCCTACCGCACCCCCCCCCACACACACACACAAAATCTCCCACTCTACTTGGGCTCCCAATCCATCCTGACCCCTGACTGTCCAACGCCTTGGGACGTCCTCCCAACGTGAAAGCCGCTCTATAAATGTAATTTGGTTGTTGTAAAATACTGTGAGACATTTAACTAAGTGAAAGATGATTTACAGGGGCAATTTGTTATTGTTACATTTCCCTTAGAATCAAGGCTGTGTTGTAGTGGTGGTGAAAGTTGAAACCAGCCGGGTAGCTTTGTAGCATTCAGGTTCAAAAAATTAGTACAGTTGATTGGTATCCACCTGAGATGCGGTCCCCCACTTACTCCTATGGCTGAGAGTCAGTTAATGAAGCATCTGAACAGCCACGTGATCAAATGTACCTTAGTGCTGTTGGGTTGGAGCTCATGAGAGCCTAAACCTGCATTGAAACCCACGATTAAGTATGGATAGAAATAGATAGGTTTGCAGGTACTTTGTTTACAACAACAGCTTGGATTAATATAGCGCTCTTCACCCGGTGCAGAGTCTCTGAGTGCTTAACAGTGGCAGAGCCTGATGTTGAGTCGGGGAGAGGGAGGAGGGACCATAAGCATGGTCAAAAAGGAAGGTCTTCAATCATGATCTAAAAGAGGAAGGAGGGCAAGGCGGATGGATTGGGGCAGAAAGTTCCAAAACTTTTGGGTGCAATGGCTGAAAGCCTCTATGAAAGCTTTACGTACTTAAGACATGCATAGGCTGAGAAGCTCCAGTAATATGATAAACTTGATCAAAATTGTTAAGTTCATGGTTTTGGTGTGACCTAATTGCCGAAATACAGTGGAGACTCCCCAGTAACCTGATCCCCATATTGCTTAAAGGTGTGGCAATAAAGCTTTATCACAAGGTAAACAAGAATGACAAAATCTCGAAAATGCTAAGAGCAAAAATATTTCTCCACCTCATTTTTGAAGGTGCAGTCATTCCATTGAGACATGCGCAAACTTTAATGAATATAATCCAATAGATTATTTCTCCCCTTCCTTTTTATTATTCTCAGGCAATTTTCTCTCCTCCTATCCTGAAAGTGAGGTTTCATGGGCACTGTTAAATACCTAGTAAAGATGCCATTGATACGAGCTTGACAGCGATTGCTGATATTCTCTATTTTAAAAAAAACTACAGGAGCCACTCTAGCCAAACCTCATGTTCTACTGGCCCAAAGTCCATTGCTCCTGTATAGTGGCCAGGAGATGGAAAGATGACTGATTCTCCCCTACCTAACTTTAAGGCACAGATACCAACTCCAGCATCCTCTACTGCTCCCCCAGCTGATGTCAGCTAAATCAGGATAGACTGGGATGTAAATCTGTAACCCTGGAATCTGGTGACCTAGTGAGCATAGCGCCTTTAACTACCACCACTTTGGAGAGACTTAATCCAAATCTTTCAGCTTCCATCTTGTCTTTCAAAAGGGCAAGGAAAATTCCTGCATGATAAAATGCTAGTTACATTGGAGTACAGTGGCAGAGGTAGCCCGAAAGCACAATGCATTGGTTGAGTAACTAAACACAGATAAGTTTCCTGAAGTAATGTTCAAGACAACACTTGGCAAACAGAGTGGAAATAAAATACTTCCAATGAAGACTGGAATTAATAATTTAGTTGCCAACATGCTCACAGTATGCAATTGTGGATAAGAAAAAGTAGAACGGTTCAAAATAAGTTACCCAGTTGATCAAGGACTAGTAGCTCTTGATTCATAGGAACGGAAAATAACTTGAGAAACCCAAACTAAAAATGTTGCAAAGATTTTATGGGGAAGAATTAAAAGAGTCGACCAATTGGAATTGTCTAAAGCATTCCTTACCTTGTTATCGTGTGTAGTGTTGATTCTGTAGTGGTAAACTCTACCCTCGTAACGGAGGGATATAGAAAGCTGTCCTGGGCTGCTCTCACTTTCCCGTACAAGAAAGCTGCCATTGATGAGGCTGCTAAGCAGGTACTCGGCTGCGCTACGCGAGACAGGACCGTGGTACCAGGAATGCTTTTCAAGGCTGTTGACAGGCGTAATGTAATTGCTGGGTACCCAACCCTGTCCATTCTTCGAACGCACCTCGCACCACTCACCATTCTGGTTATAGCACAGCACACGGAGCTTTTCACCTGTTGAGATGAAAACAGAATTATAAAACAGTCGTAGATTGAGTGACCACATTTTTGTTTGCTTTTGGGGGGATTATTATCCCCAGAAAGCGATCCACTGATCGACTAACAACTGAGTTCCTACTTACTGCTAGGTGAACAGAGGTGTGTGGAGAAAGGAAACTTGCTTAAGATTTCGCCCCGCCCAGGAATTGAACCCAGGTCCTCTGGTCTGTAAGGCGAGGTTGCTAACCGCTACACTATGGGAATCCACCTGGAAATCAATGGCATAATACATAACCCATGAAAAGTGAAAGCCTGTGAAGTTGTTGTCGAGTCCACTTTCTTCCTTTCTGTGCAGCTATAATTCTAAAAACAATATATTGCACAGTGCACTCTTGGCAATCCAGTGAGTTAAGAAGTTATTAAACATGAGCCAAGTGACAGGTTACTGTTTTCTTTTCACCTATTTTGCTCCATCTCTATCATGTTGTCAGGTGAAATTAGGAAAACTGCATTATTTTAAGGCAATGATTATGAAAGTATTGGTCTGCCCTCGAGCACAACAGTGATTGATTTAATGGTTCTGTGGAGAATTTTATGCATCCTGCACTGCGTTTTTGTCATGTAGGCTGTCATCAGAACCATTGAACTGAATGAAAGTCTTGCAATTTACTGCCCATTAAACAAACAATTAAACATTAAACAAACAAAATGTAATGGTGGGAGATGCTGCACTGAGGAAATCCTAAGGAGAAATAGCAAATCACTCCACCTTGTACTGTTAGCCTAATGTTGGTGTCAAGCTGGCAAACAAAACATGGCTGAATGACCGGATAACTTTAAAACAGTGACAGATAGGGATGTTGCCCCTTACCTTTAGTGATGCTCAGTGTGTTGTCACCACTCGCAACAAAGTCATAAAGTGCAACAAACAAATTGGGATCGCTTTCGGCAGCTCCCAGGAGATTCTCCTTTGAGCTCCACCTCACTGCTTCATTCAGGGTCTGAGAGTCGATGTCAGAACCAAATGGACGGTGCAGTGCTTCTGCAAGGAGAAAAGAACAAGCGTTCATGAGAATCTATTATTAAAAGCATATTCACAAATGAACAAACGTAATGTTCAAGTCAGGCAAGTATACAATAGCATGGTGCATGAAATCAATGCCATAACATATAACCCATGAAAGACCTTTCTCTTTGATTGACTCAGTGTACATGTGAGAGTGAGAGATGGAGTGTGAGATGGAGATTTCACCTACAAAATATACAGTAGTTCACTATACAGTATATTCTGTGAAGCCCTTTGACATGATAAGATGCTATATGAAACGCAAGGAATATTATCATTCATAACACAGATTTGATCATGTTGCAATGCTACACTGGTCTGGAGACAGACACTGTGCGGACCCAAGGCACTGCCCTACAGAAAGAAGCAAAACATTTGGAGAAAGTGCTGTCCTTGGCTTCTGTCAGGTGCCTCCTTGCAGCTGTCTCAGAGAACACCATTGAGAGAGGCCAGGAGTGGGTCATAGGTTCAGTCAAACGCATGAGCACATGTGCCATATTGCCCAAGAGATGTATTAGAGAGTAAACAGGACTTCATACTCTCAGAGGAAAAAAACACACCCATAGCTAATGAATGACAAGTGCCCATCTAACAACAATGAGCATTAATTGACTTCGAGACCAGTAAATATACACCAATAATATAGCAATAATTAACCATCCACAGGCAATAAATCCCATCAGGTTTATAATATTAAATATTGCGAGATGCATGTATAACCACTTCAGATTGAAGCTGGTCTCCATTATCAGCTCAGTCAGTTAAGGTAAAATTTTGCCGGGTAGGAGGCCTGATGTCTCTTTCCTGGGGTGGGGAGGGGGAGTAATCGGGGTCTCCTTGGAGCTGAAGTGACTCTAAGTTACACGTTTGGCACTGGAATGTCAGAATCGAGTCAGCCTCTTGTGGTGGTCTCGGTAGACCAGTTCCTGAGCCAACCAGGTCCGTATTAGTCCAGGGCACTGCTGATGAAAGTACAGCCAGCCTGGCTCATCGGCAGGACTTGGAAGGGCAGATCAGTCATGGAGGAGGGGGGGGGGNCAGGGAATCATCCCACTGAGCTCCTATTAATCCTGCAAGCCAAAGCCCTAACAGGTAAGGTGCTCCTAGCTGGACAAGCAACGGGAATGCTGTTCCTCCTTCAAGGCCGATCTCAAGACCTTTCTTTTTGACCGTGCCTTCAGCTCCCCTCTCGACTCTCTACCCCCTCCTCGCTCCCTCCCTTCCCTCCCCTCACCCTGACCATTTCCCCCCTGCTCGGGTCCTGACCCAACTGTCCAGCGCCTTGGGACGTCCTCCCAACGTGAAAGGCACTCTATAAATGAAATCTTGTTGTTGTTGTTGAATGCATTGAGCTTAATGTAACCAACGTATCAAGCTTGAAGCAACTAGCAAGCCAATGGTGACTACTGTAACAGTTTACTTCCCAATGGACCTTGAATATCTTGGACAATGCATTTTGTTCTTGTCTACACAATAGTTTTGACTTGTAAAGATACTGTAAATGGAAGAATATGATGGTGCCTGGCTTCCAATGCATCAAAATTAAAAAAGTTTCTGAAAAGCTGTTCAACTTCTGTAACTAAATTAAAGGGGATTCTGCATTCTGAATCAATAATCACTTCTTTGTTCTGTATGAGTCCTCTGCACAGTAAGTCACCACACTCAAAGACAACAATCTCAGACATCAAAGGCAATTGCAGTACAACCATTAAATCTTCTTAAACGTCTCTCTTAAAAGACATGCTCTTTTCAGCCACTGAAAAAGTAGAGCCACCCAGATGACTCACAAACTGCATTAAGCTTAACAGGCCACTCATAACGGCTTTTAAAATTAAAAAGAAACATATAACATGTGAAGTTAAATATGAAATTAGTCGATTAGAGGATAGCTTTCCAGAAGTAATAATCCCTTCAAAAATTTTTTTGGGTCAATCAATCCATGGTCGTTTGTGGAACATTGCGTTGCGCAGTTGGCGATCGTGTTTTGCCCACAAAATACACAATCAATTCACTTTAGACTATATTCTGTGAAGCGCTTTGAGACATCTCAACGACACGATAAGGAGCTATGTCAAATGCAAGGATTATTATGATAAAATAGTTTATATTTTATTCATCTCAACTTCATATCTAGCAACTTCACACACATTGTTAGCTCAATCTTTCACGTAGACCTGTGTACAACAAGCAATTCAACTGAGAAATAACTTTCATTAAACTTGTCATTACATGTCAAATATTGAGGAAAACTTTACGAAAGCTAGCCAGCTTTTCCTCCACACTGTACCTGCCACTTGAAAGAAATCAGAAAAGGCTCGGTCAAGGCTGGTCAGCCCATATCTATCTTCATCAAAACTACTGGATGGCAGCAAAACCATTCCAGTACTCATGTTGTTTCAGGGAATCCAATCACTTGTGCTAGGCACAGTACTACAAAGATTCATTGCACTATTCGAGAATGGAATTAATTTGGGCGGGTCTAAGATTTAGGTTACCCGGAGAAATTAGGCTAAGAAAAAGATATTCAAATTCTAGCCTATCAAAGCAGGGTAGGAGTTGACGTCATCATGTGGGAAGACATGCTGCAACAATTTTTATACGCTGAAGTTAAGCCCGGATCAATTAATTACTCACATCAGAGCATTCCTAAGCAGAGAGTCATACAGTTGGGACTTGAAACCACCAGAGACCCACGTCTACATAAAACTGAGCCACTGCACTACGATTCATACAGTAAACCCTTTCATGATCAATGGAAACATTTTCATGACAGAATATATTGGACACGTACCAATTTGGTTTGCAAATCGGATCTTACTGTTTTGCTTGCTTCTTCTGTGCAATACCTATCTGTACATCTTCTTTAAATTGAATCTTAAATTACATTTTAAATCTCTAGTTTTATAGAATATACAAGATAAAGGTCAGGTTCCGGGTCAAGAATCTTTTCTCCTCCTAAATAAAATATACACCCACAAAATATAGCTTTGAGAAACATCTCAAAATATAGCTTTGAGATGTCTCAAAGACGTGATAAGGTACTATGCCAAATGCAAGGATTATTATTATTATTTTATTGTATATTATACCACTTCATCCTATCCCTCTCCTGGAATCCTACCTCCACATTGATGGAACTTTTCTAATAACATGAATTTCATAAGACAACACTTTGCACATCATCAAATGTGGGTTGGAAGTGTCATGACGAACCACAATAGTAGAAGCAAAGGTTTGGGAGGACAACAACCTTCTAACAAAGGAAGTGTACATAACAGACTTAACATTAAATTAAGTACCTATTACACAGAACTTTTTATCAATACTTCACAGTTCTTAGATGTGCATTTAGGGGGGCAGAGGAAAGAACTTCAAACACAAGTAAATTATTTGCTTTAAAATTACAGTAATGTTGATCTTTGTATATTTTTATAGAAGTACTTATCAAATTTGTTCAAGTGGAACGAAAAGGTAATTTATAGTAATTTCCCAATTTTGAATATTCAGGACATGTAAACAAGTCTTTCAATCAGATGTAGATGTTAAATGTTACAAGTGCTGAAAATGAACCATGAACTTACTTTCAATGTCAGCAAGTGAACAGTTGTTTACGGTCCATGCTTCAAGGGGTCATTCTCAGAATTTGAGCAATTAAGGGGGTGAAATTACAGGGAGAATTCCATTCCAACCGCATTTCTCCATCTCACTTTGAACAGATGGATTCAAGGCAGTTAGATATCTGTACTCGCTTCCATATGCCGACAGATTTTGTTCCAGTGTTGAGAGCCGCACCGAGGATATTTTACGGGGAAGGTGGACCCTCATTCCCATTGCAACGTTTGGCACAGATTCCAATATAAATGTAATATTAAATATTCAGTGCTTTACACTTTGTTCAGAGCAATGAAGCATAGCCATCAGAATGGAATCCAAAAATAATAATAATCCTTACAGTTGATATAGCACCTTATCATGACATTGTGACGTCTTAAAGTGCTTCACAGAATATCCTGTAAAGTGAATTGACAGTATATTTTGGGGCCAAAACAAACTTGAAAATATCTCAATTTGATACAAAGGAGAATTCCAACCTATCCCCTTGCCCACAAATTCCAATATAAATAAGAAAGTAGACACACAAGGTTTGAAAGACTCGCCTGTAATCTTTGTGCAAAATGATTTTACAATCTCTTCTTCTCCTTAAGTAGTGAAAGTAGAGCTGGATGGATGACACACACATTACAGACGTGGTCCAAACTCACTGACGTTCGCTACTGGTTACACACTGAACTTCAGTCACACTAATTGACAGAAATTCTAAAAGATCTGGGAAAAGTGTATTGATGTAGGTCTTTTGCCTCATCAACAAACACCCAGTTTTTCCAAGTGTGTAAACAGAACATTTCGGGTAATGGAATCCAGAGACACATGCTTAACTCACTGTTTGTTCTGATTAGCTTATTAGTTTGCTCCAGTTCTGTCCTAAAGAACGGATCAGATCTGCAGATGATGTTCCGAGAGAATTGAAGAAAACACTGTTATATAAAAAAAAATCCTTTTTTATTTTTTGGTCAGCTGGGGGTCTGACACATCACCGTGCTTAAGAGTATCCAAACCAAACTGAGAATTCCTTGCATCCCAGCTACACATGGAAATTCCAGAGATAGATTGTTGGAATGGAAATCCTGCTTACCTAATTCTGGAAAATATTAAGTGCAGGTTGGCACGAGGCAAGATATGGGGACCTCAGAGTGTGCATTGGGCTACTGCTGGAGTCTAACCAGCTAAAACAGAATAGTTAACCATTGATATCACTGTCTGACAAGTTTTCCCGCTGCTTGTCCAGCTAGGACCACCCTACCCGTTAAAAATAAAAAAATACGTTGACGCATCCAAAATTCTGCATTTTTAAGTCAATTATGATTTAAAAAAAGATCTATCAAAAATCATGTATCACAAAAGTGCAGGACAAATTA